AATTTTAATTACCAATTTTTAAAAATTTAAAATTTAAATACCAATTAAAAAATGATATGTTTATATTTTTAAGTCATTGTAACAAAAACATATGAGCACCCTTGTATAGAACTATAAAATAGCTTTGGCTATTAAAATTTAAAATTCTATAGATTTTTAATTTAAAAATTTTAAAAATTTTATTCAATCAAAATCATGATTTTAATAGAATAAAATCCTATGAATTGTCCAAGATAGTATTTTTTTACTTTAATTTTGGTTATGGTCAATTCACCCTGATATTAAATCTAATAATAATGCAATAGTTGTTTTTCTGAATGTTAATTGCACACTACCATCATTTTTTAAGAAAAAAACAAAACATTATATTTAGTATTACCTAGGCATTACGTCTAATAACAGAAATTAACTTGCAAATACCTAATTTTTTTTATTATTCTTTACTGACCTTCGGGTAAACACATTTATACGAGTAAAAATGTATTTATTTGTTACATTTAGAAATGAATAATTCTCTAGTGACTGACCAATGAATTTAATGATTATATAACTATAAACATTGTTGTAGTATAATATTTTTAACTTTTTCTTAGGTATTCAATCAAAACGTAAAAATATAATTAGATATTATTTACAACATATATTTATAAAATAATTATATTTATCTACAGATGTTATATCCTAATTTTTCATACATAATAGAAGATTAACTTACAGTTGTAACAAAAATAAAAATTTCATTTCATCTTCACATAATTTAGGTTATAATTTCATATTTTATTAAAGAATTCAATAAATGACCTTGTTCTTTGCTGTTAAAAACTCGTACACAATAAAAATAAATTATAAAAACAAGTACCTACTTTATACAATAGATTCTATTAAATTAAAAATTTCTGAATGCTTTAAAGAGTTATAAAGTAATTTTATAGTTAGGTAGTTTTAAAAATGAAAATCATAGACAGTTAATAGTATTTTAGATTTTATCAAAATTGTGTGTGGACACCAGTAAACATTCAAAAACTACAATTTTTTTGATATCTGATAAAAAAAAAAAAAATATAATATTTTACATAATTTTCGTTCAAAATAATTATGGGTATTTACTAAATTGTGTTAGATTCATTCAAATACTTAACATCATATATTTTAAATAATTATAAATAGCTATAATTAAAACATAAAACTCATGTATATGTATAGCATTAAAGATGCTTAAGACGGATTTAAAAAAAAAAATGATTAATTATAACTTATACAAGCTCGAAAAATTATTTCTAATTATTATTAATTTTAAAAGTTGTTTATAATTAATTTGGTTAAGTACCTAATTTTTATTAGATAATACTTCATTAATGAATATACAATATTAATAATAAGTGCAACTTACCGGTTTTCTTATTTTACCATGAAAAGAAATTTTTAATTTACATATTTATATGTGATAGTATTTAGTATATTTATGTATAAGTTTTAAATAAATTAGGATTTAACTTAATCTTTTTAAAAGTATCTAATTTATCCTTTAAAATATAATATATTGAAATATGACAATAGTAAAAAATTGTTATTATTAACAATTATTTATAATTTATTTTCATCATATGAATATCTATGTCAGCTGTTTCACATTATATTATTTACGTCTAAAACTTTTAAATAATAGATATAAGTGTAGCCAGATATTTCAAATAGAGGGTATTATCCAAAATTCTTGATTTAAGTATAACCATACTTAAATTTTTATGTATAAGTACTCGTATTTTACCCATCATATAAGTATTAAACTTTCCTATTAAATACCACAATTAACAGTACAATTTTGGAGGGTAAATTATAATAACTATAATATCTCTTTTTTGAAGATAAATTAAAGTACCACTCCCCCACTGCCATGATTACAAAAAAAAAAAAGTATCATTATTATAATTTACCCTGTTAGGATTAAAATAGGGCAAATAAAAATTCAATTCGCCTCAGAAAAAAATCGATAATAGCAAATTCATCATTTTTTGTATGGACTTAACTCTTAAGATTATTGAATATCCTGTATTCTTGCCTATAATATTTGTTATTATTTACAGCATAATAACAAATTATATGGAAATATGTAACTATACAAATAATACGACTGTTGGTGAAGGAGGAGTGTTACTACTAATGGCGAAATAGTAGGTACTTAAATTCCTTAGCGAGGCTGGATCAAAACAATTTTTCTCCTAGTTCTACTTAAGCCTCTAAAAGTCCTTAAGACCGTATAATCTCTAAACTTACCAGTTTGACGGTATATAAGCACAAAAGTATAATAGTATATTGTACATTTAAAAATAGTTTTAAAATTTTAAATCATTGCGTTAAAAAATTAATTCTAAATAGATATTTAAATGTTGGTTATAAGTAGAGGTAGGATTTTTATGATTTTACATTTTTGTTTCTAATATATGCAGTTAAACGGGAGTAAGATATCTTTGTGATTCATAGGAAATAATTATTTTGCATAAAAATGCATACTTTAGGGGTTAGAAAATATTTAACACGTTAGAGAATATTTAAGAATATTTAAAATGTTAAAGAATATGAGAGAATATTTCACGTATATTAACATTTTGATAAATACAATATTTACTAAACGATTTATTTCTGGGTTCTAACTTCTAATATAAATTAATCATCAGATACAGTTACGTGTGTAGTTCACGTGATGAACATGGTTGCAGCGAAGATCAGAAAAATGTTTTCAAATGTGAATTAACTGATTAATAATATTAAAATAGTATTTTTAAAAGTGCCATACCATGTCCAGGTGTACTAAGTAATATTACTCAATAAGTCATTACTCCCAGAACCCGTATTAACTAGGTAGGGAACTTGGCTAGAAGCCGCTGTATTTAGATGAGACAATTTTGAGGGTTTCAAAAATGTTATAGAAAAATTAAGTGAACAAAAGTCGTCGGTCAGTATTGAAAAATACAAACATATGTTACATCTACAGTCTGTAAAAAATGATTTAATTTTATAGAAACTAATTTTCTACAAATTGTTATAAGTTATAATCATCAAAAGTTTGGAAAAACCAAATACGCCCTTAGTTGATGTGATAAATATTATCGAAAACACTTTTACATAACTTGAACAGATACCTGGAGAAAAATGAGAAGTAGGCAGTAAAAACAAAAGTATTGTAACTTCAAAAAAAAAAAAAAAAAAAAAAAAAACAAAGGATACAATTTTTTGAAGAAATATTGGATAAGTTCTCAGTGGAAATAACACATTAAAAATTCCGAAAAATTATTCACCGACTATGGTAGCCGACTTGCAATATTCTCCAGTGACATTGATTTATGTCGAACGATCCTTTAGCGTATAAAAAAAAAAAAAAAAAACGGCGTACCAAAATGACACCAGAACATATGGAGCATATATTAATTAGTAGGTAATCAATTATTATTGGAAATTTTAAAACCAAATTATTGTAAATTTAATTAACTAATTAATTAATATCACAAGTTAATAAATAGTATAATAAATAATAAATTTGAACAAAATATATGTATTTTTTTTAATATTGAAAGAATATTTTACATTTTTAAGGACATAAAACATCATATATCTGGTATTTTAAAAGAATATAAATCCGACTTTTAGTTATAACTATAATTTATAAGTGAAAAAGGACTTGTATCTTATTATATCTGTAATAAATTAATCCAGGCGATAATAACAGTGCTATCTGTTATCATAATTTTCAATTTTTTCTACATTTTAGCAATTAATATTATGACAGCATCGCATTTTTTTCGTGGCCAGAATACGCTGACGTGCCTAGGTATATAATTTGTGATTCTGATTTGCGATTTAATATTATAATTACATATTGTTTAATATCGTTTCGCTGTGAATTGTGATCAGGCATCTCAGTTAAATAAGTATCTAGACCACAATGCAAACTTATGTATGCTGTAGAAGCATAAATATAAAATTCTCATAAATTAATTAAAAGGTAGAAAATACCAATACATTATTATATTAGTTGATTTTACGGATAAAAGCTGTTAGAATATAATAATTATTAATCGACATAATCTTTTGCAGGTAGAAATCTCAAAAATATTTATAATAATTAGTTTAAAATGTAAACTTTCAATTCGAACGTGCTCGTAGGTATTTGGTATATCTATCTTATATACCTAACCTCATAATAAATAAAAAAATAATAAATAGGTACCTATTTTTTAATCATGAAAATCGCCTTTTTTATCCTATTATAGTTTTATCATTTACAAAGAACAGACATAAACATTTTAGTTTGGTCATAAGAGAACATTTAAATTAGATTAAAATCTGCCTATATGGCTTTATGAATTAAAATCAACCTATAAAATAAAGTTTTATTACAATCCATAAGTTATTAAAATAATCAAAAACCTAGATAGGTATTAATTTTATATTACAACTCCATAAACACAGGCCTTTAAAATGTATATCTAGGAATTTTAAGAAGAATTTATTTGAAATCGACTTGGAACAACATTGGCGGATGACATTAATATAGACTTAGACCAAAACCCCCTCCAAAAATATTTCCTACCTACGCTCATGGGGAACAATATTATGATATAGTCAATATAGAATGGTGAAAGGAAGTAGTTTTGGCGACTAAAAGTCAAAATGGCTCGCAAAACCAAAAAAAAAAACACATACCTAGGTGATTCGGAGAGCTTGAAATTCACCTTATATTATGTTTGAACTTCCAATGAACTTTTCTGTTTTTGTTTTAAAGGGCATTATAAGTTATAACGCAATCAAAACATTGAACCCTAGAAAAAGTTCCATAATAATCGAAATTTGAAGTGAACTAAAAATGGTGCAATCATTGAATAGTTTTTATACCGACAGATAGCGCTACATATAACATACACTACGAATCGTGACTTTTTTCCAAAGCCGTAATATCAACAGCACAACCGTATAGGTTGTGATTACGCACTGATTGATATTTTGATAACTGCCATGTGTCGAGTCTTCAGCGTCGTTTTACTTAGATCATAATAGTATATACAGTAATATATTTTGTTTTATATTATTTTTATTATTTATTAATTTATTATCTATAATGTGTAATACCGACGACACTGTGTTGCTAACAAAACTGAAAACTCCATAATATTTAAATTTGACAAGACAAATATTATTTCTTCTAAAATTTAAAATCTTGATTTTCAAGTCGACAGTCGCCAATACAACACAACGAATTACAAACAGGCCGGCTACTTATATATTTTATTTTAAATTCAATAATTACTATACTTTGCAAATTATTCATTTTTAAAAAATGAATTCAACTCGTGAAATTATAACATTGCAGTTTGGTCACTATTCTAATTTTATTGGCACACACTTCTGGAATTTACAGGTTTTTTTTTTAATCAGTACCTAAATACCTACCATTATTAATTAAATATTAAAATGATCTATTTCATAGGAAGCAAGTTTTACTTACGATGAAAACAGTAAGCCACTAGAAATATGTCATGATGTCTTGTATAGGGAAGGTGTTAATTTAAAGGTAGGTAAACAAAGAAAACAATTGTTTGATATCTTTTACTCACAGATGATTTTATACTTAAGGAATATGTTCTTAAGAAAATCATAAAATGTAAAAAATTGTTTTCAAAGGTACCTTATAAGTAGGCTTGCCATTCGTTCCAGTTTTAACAGTATATCTCAGTATCCTAGCTAGTCATTCAGTTTTTCCTGATTAATTAAAACTCAGTGGAAATAACATTTAATAATAATAAAAAAAAGAATAATATAACTTCAAAAATTTTAAACAAAAGACCAAAAAATTATATTGTAAACCAACATCAGATCATTGATGAAATTGTATAATGTATTAGTTAAAGAGTTTTAATTATAAAAAGTTAAAGATAGACAGAGAAAGAAATAAAAATTACAATCAAGAAAAATAGGTGCAGCTATTCTGTCATTTCATAGAAAAAGATGTCGTCTCCTAATCTAAAATTAATTTTTTAATATATCTTTTGTTTGGAAAGAACTTAAGCTCCCAAAGAAAGAATTTTCTTGCTCATGAATAACGCATGATCAAGGGTAAAATGAATGAAAATACTATATGAAGTCTGATGTTCTGCAAAATTAATTTTAGTTTAACTTTTAATGCATTTAACGAAAAAATTACGGATAATACAATTTTATTTGAGAAATATTAATTTAGAAAAAAATATCTGATGTAAACAAATATAAAAATTATACTGTTTATATTTACCTACTGAAATATTAAATAACTTTAATCTCTATAAAATACTTCTAATAATTAATAAATAATAATGCACTCATTTTTATTTGTATTAGCTAATAAATATTTAAATAAAAAAGGATATATACTAATTTTCATTTAATCAATTTATCGAAAAACAAATCATGTGATGTCCCAGTTGGTTTGGGAATTTCAAAATTTGGCAATTCTACTTATTAGTCATAACTAATAAATACTAACAAAACTAAATATATTTATTATACGAGTAGACAATTATAATATATTTATTGGCCCTATGAGTAATTTCTTTGAAGTCGATATTGTATTTTTATAAAGTAATAATTAAGATAAAAATGTTTTCTCAGTAATTAACAGAATGCATAATGCATTTACAGTTCTAAACTTATAACTTAAGTTATATAATAATTATCAGTTACAAATGAATACTATCAATTCTTTTTGTATGTCTATACTTAGAAAAATTCTGAGCTCTAAATAAAATAAAAAGTCAATAAGCAAATAAGCCTCAATTACTTAGCATTTTCTACTATCCTTTAGAAAATCAATATAAATATAAGTTTAAAATTAAAAAAACAATCAGTTGGCCACCAAATATTCTAATGATATGACTTATATTATTATTTATTTTATTTTTATAGTTACCCATTTTTTTACTATATATTATAAAGTCAATTCTACTACAGTACTATATATATTTTTTTATTAATATAAATTTTTACATTAGAAAAAAATGAAATTTAAAACAAAAAATTAACTGAATAATTAATTAGTTTTAATTTAATAAACTTAATAATGTAAAACATATCAGTTTTAAATAATTAAAGCTACCAAATAAAACATTTTCACAATGTTCAAATTGCTTACCATTTATGCATTAAATTATATTGTTTAATAAAACCTTATTATTTATAAAATTAAAGTTAATCATATTTATCATCAGTTGAATAAAAAAAATTAGATAAATATAATTAGTTAACTTTTACTAAATTAACCTATTTATATTATTATATTTATCTTTTTACCAAAGTAATTAAGTATAATATTTTACTATATATCTTATAAAAAAAAAAATTTAAAGTTATGAAGTACTTACTAAATAAACCAAAAATATATTTGGCTACTAACAAATGTAATAACATAGCTCTTTGATAAAATGTTTATCTAATATCTATTAAATATTAGACATTTTAGTAAAAAAAATTAAGTGTAAATGTTAATTACCTAATTAAGTGATATTACTTATAAAAATTATTAATTAAAATTTAAATAGGGTGAGGTAACCTATACTCCTCGTATGCTGTGTGTTGATCTTAAGAACAGTTTTTACCAATTGCCATATGTACATAGAGGCTTATATGATTTAAATTGTAGCAATATAGATGAAGAAATACAGAATTATTCTACTAAAATTCAAACTTTACAAGAAGAAAAAATTCCTAACAATGAATTTTTTTCAGACTTAGTCAAACAAGAACTATTTATAGGTAAGTTTTATTTAAAATTTATGGTAGTCAGTTTTTAGTTAAATATAATCTTTTTTACTTCATTGGGTAGATTTATTTTTCTTATTTCTTTTAATAAATTAGATTCAAAAGCCTTAGTTTATGCCTAAAATAAAAAAAAATTTGTTTAATATATTTTAGATGATGATAATGAGAAAATAAATATAGCCGAGAAAGTATACAATTTAGATGACGATGTTAAAATTTGGTCAGATTTTTTGAAAGCTCGTTTTCATCCAAGAACTATCACATCAATTGACGAGTATAAACACAATGATTCAAGTAATGTGTTTAATAATTTTGCTCAAGGTATTACATTATGGGATTCCTATAAAATGAAAGAAACTTGGACTGATAATTTAAGGTTATATGCAGAAGAATGTGATTATTTGCAGGTACGTTATGTTATGGATTTTAAGAAATGTCTTAAAATTAATTTTGAAAAGTTGAGCACTAACTTTTCAAATAATGCTATATCCATATATTTAAACAATAGTGGCTAATATGGATTTTTAATTGTTTGTTTTAATTTCAAACATTGATTTGCTTACATATTTTTTTAAATATTATTTATTGGTATAATTTTATGTTCATAAATTAGGGATTTCATGTTACAATGGATTCATTGAATGGTTTTGGTGGTTTAGCTTGTAAGGCTTTGGAATACTTAAAAGATGAGTATTATAATAAAAACATTATTGCTATGCCTGTAATGTCAGATAATTATATTCTTGAAGATGAAGATTCTGAGTTACATGCAGTTAACACCTCATTATTATTTTCTTCACTGTTTGAACATTCAAATATGTTTGTACCATTGTCTACATCATCCGGTGGTTGGGTGAAGAGTCAAAGCCATCTTACTTTAGATTACTTATCTTATAAAGTATAGTATAACTTTAATAAATTTATACATACTTGATGATTTATCTTATAATGTTTTGATTTATTCATGATTCACATTTTAGAACAATTTAGATTATCATTCCAGTGCTATTTTAGCATCAGCTATAGATACATTTACATTGGGATATAGAAGTCGTTCAGACAAAGATAGTATGCAAAATATGTGTACTCGGTTGACCCCTTTAGGCCGAAAGGCTATATCAGCTTCAATACAATTACCTCTTGGATTTGAATCAAAATCAAATTTACTCGATTACTTAGAAAATGCAAAATTACCTCTATGGCAACCCATTTCACCTCAGTGTACTACAGAAATGTCTGTAGCTCAAACAATTGTTATGAGAGGCATAACTGAAAACATGCTATATTCCAAGTTGGTATTTAATGACTACCAAGTTTGTTATATTAAAATGTATAATAATATGGATAGTGAATAATTTATCATTAAATCTATTTATATATTTTTTAATTTCAGTAATCTCATAAGAGATTCAAAAAATCCATCTCATCATTGTACATCACCTAGTGCTTTGTTAAAATTATTCATATCTTTTTGTGATCATGTGCGAATGACAGAAGTTCATGCGTTTGATTCATCATTAGAGACTATAGCACCATTCCCTAATATATTCGATCAATCTATTAACCAACATGGATTTGTAGAATCATTATCTAGATCATCTACTTCTGGTAACTATTGATTTATTCATGACATAAATTTGATAAATATTAATATTTTGTATTTATTTTATTAATTTTCAAATTAGTGGTCGCAAAAAGTACAGCTATTAGTGGTTTACATAACAGTAATTCAATGAGAGATATGATTAAAGCTTTAAAGAATGATTCTAGTAAAGTAAAAGGTTCAAAATTGAGTCACATGTTTAACTACGGGATTGATGTAATGGATTTTAAAGAAACTATTGAAAATCTTCTTGTTTTGAGTGATAATTATTCAATAAACGACTGTTTATAATTTGAATAAGTACCTAATATTAATCTGTTTTTTCCAAAAATTATATATTAAATGATAAAAATTTAAAATAAATAAATACTTTTTTACGATTTATAAACAATATTATTATTATTTTGCATATTTTTAAATCATTTATTATAATGCTAAATATGAACTATTACATATACAACAAAATATGTTTCTCAAGGCGATTCTCGTTCATTTTATGGTATGTGAGTGTGAGTGTGAGTGTGTATGCGCGTGCGTATGGACAAAATAATATAAACATATTTGTCGTTTATTATCGTTTGCATTAGTTGGAAATTTACTATATTACACTTAACTACTTAAGTTCAAACGATCAATTTGTGTTTAAGTGATTACCAAATTTAACATTCTTTAATTTTTATCGATATTAAATATTGATGGTTTTTTTTTACTTACATATATGCAACGGTTTTATTTAATTTAATTTTTTTAAAAAATTTTAAAATCATGGATACTTTGAAAGATTGGAAAATAGTGTCCTTGCTTGTTTGCGTATTTGCTATGGTCAGAGAAATACGACCAATTGAGCCGTTTTTTACATCATACCTCAAAAGTATGAATTTCACATTAGACCAGGTATTTATTTTGAATTTTATTTTTGAATTATGTTATTATTTTAATGTTTTTTCTTTAATATATCGAGTTTTCAAGTCAAATAAATATTTAGGTATTATTTCTAAAACTTTTTTAAATAAAATAAAATTTATTACGACTTAATTATTGTATAAGTAGGTACTTATCTATCTTTTAAACATCGATTCTTAGAGGAAAAAATAACACACCTATATCATAACATAATTTCTACAAATTTAAAGTATAAAATTTAGAAAAAAAAATTCTCATGGCGAATTTTTAGAGATAAGTTTAGTTAACTAACCGGCAAATTAGTTTTGTTTTGTATAATTTTAAAAATATCAATGCACAATAAACTTTGGTAATTTATCACTTATATATAATATTAAGTTCAAAGCTACTTATAAAAAATATATCAATAAGTATTCATCCACGGCTGTGAAATATAGCTTAACGTATAATATTCTTAATACTCTAAAAGTATTAATCCGTATTTTATTACTATTTTGATATAGATCAACGAAGAAATATATGCAGTGGGGACTTATTCGTGCCTAGTATTAGCTATTGTAATATTCTTGATAACAGATTATTTTCGGTACAAACCGTTAATTATTGCAGATGGAATTGCTGGAATTTTAACATATGCATTACTATTAGGAACACCAAGTTTATTCAGAGTTCAAGTGAGATTTTAAACGACTCCCGTAGAGATTAAGATATGTATACTTGTATGGTATTATAACAATAATTATAACCAATACTAAGAATAATGAATATAACTTTTCAATTAAAATACCTACATCGCAGATGGAACAAGTATTCTTTGGATTTTTTTATTCATCAGAAGTTGCGTTCACTACATATTTGTATGCCAAGGTCGACAACAAACAATATTATCAAAAAATCACTAGTCTAGTGAAAGCATCTATGTTATTTGGCAGATTTCTGTCTGGATTAATTGCGCAAACTATTGTTTCAACACACTTATTGGACGAAGTTTATTTGCTATATATCAGTATATTTAGTATGTATCATAAAATAAATACTTATATTAATATTTACGATATTAGTGTTTACTTAAATTGAATGGCTAATAAAATATAAAAAAAAAATACTAACTTTGATACAATTTTTCTAAGAGTATTCAATTTAAACAATATATAATATTTAATTAACAATAAAATAAAAAGCAGTAAATGGGAATTTAGGTAATATTATTTTCTCATTAACTATATACGTGTGTGTGTGTCTATTACTAATTTGATGTGTTATAGTTTATACTAATTATCTACAAAATAATTTAACAAACACAAGTACCTACCTTATACTATTTTTAGATGATTTATTAAGGTATACAATTTGAGCTGTATACCTATCTAGGGCTTATTTGTTACGATAAAGCTGCTTAAAACTATTTACGAATGACTTATGGTTCACTATATCGACACCATTGGATAGTATCGATCTGAAGAGTGATAAAATTAAAAGATCAAAGAATATGAAATCTAAACGAATGAGCGAAATTGTGTTTGTTCGCCATTCTTCTGGAATTCGTAGACATTTTCTCACAACTTATTTTGTAAAACTCATGTCAATAAGAAAATCAAGCATAAATAATACCGTAGAGGTACAAATTAAAAAAAAAAGTATTCAAACCAATAAAAGAAATTATAACTGGAAAACTATTATGTGAATAATTAACAGCTAGTATTCTCAAAATACATTACTATTATTTATATAAATATCAGATAAAAAAAACTTAAACGTTTCAAAACGTTATTACTGCATATACTCAAAATATGTTTGAATTAGTATTTATTATAAAATTAAAATATTTTTTTAACTAAATTACTTATAACGAAAAAAATGAAATTAAGTTTGGTATGGAATTGTTATTTAAATAACATTTTACTAAAATTTAAACTTTTATTATTTAAGTAACATTTAAAATGAAATTTTTACCGAGCTGATATTTAAGTATTACTTAATTGAATAATGGTTACGAAAATTAATTGTAGAAAGTTACAAACATCATACAAACCAATGACACACCCACAATTTTAGTAGGTTTATAAATGTATTACCAACCAATTATGTATAGGTACCTATAATAATGCCTTAAATTAAATATTAAAAATTACATTTTTAATTTTAAATCGATTAACAAATACTTGTTTTAATAGACAATATAAATTATTTTGATATATTATATAAGCTCTAATATACATATTAATATATATTGACAAAACAGTTAACTCCAACAATATGTTTTCCGAAAATTCGGAGGAAAACTACTCCATTTTGTCGGAATAAGTATAAAAATTATTAATGAACAATGGAAAACAAAATTATATTATGTGCATCATCACCATGAAGATTACGAATTGTTATTCTATCTTAAACCAGTTTTACATAAAAGAACTATTCAATATTGACAATTTTTGATTTTTAATTCAATAAAAAATTTTGATCAAGAATGATTTAATAAAAACCTTGATGTATTTAAAAAGGTAAATATGTAGTCGATATAATTTCGTATTAGTTATAGTCAATAAAATATAGTGAACCTATGTTAAAATCGTTTTGCGCTTTTATACTTTAGTAGATAGTAGTGAGATTAAAAGCATAAAAACAAATTGTATTACATGATACAACATGAACCTGTTGCACTATAAGTTCCAGTCTAAAATTTGACGTTCATTATAAATTATAATTAATTTTTAAGTAGGTATATAGTATTTTTTTTATGTCATAAAAAATATCAATGAAATTCAGTTGAAATTTAGTGTTATTGATATAATAATAATAAAAATATATATAATATAAATAATAATAATATACGATACAATTATCATATTTTACGAATTTTAATAAATTTTCAGATTGTATGTGGCTATTTAAAAACTGTGCTTCAAATTTCAAGTTTAATTTAAGATAGCTTCTCATTATAATTCTAAATTTAAAATAACTCAAAATTCTAATTTTTATTTTTAATTTATTTTATTGAATTTTTTATCATTTATCATTTTATTGACGAAGCTCAATTAATAATGAATCATTTTAATAAAATAAACTTTAATTTTGTAAAATGTATTTGCGTTTATGGGTTGTTAAAAAGATAATTTTTTTATGTTTATGTGTTTTTTTGGTTGCATTTTTCCTAAAACATTACTCAGAATTTAAAATGTTATTTTTTCGAGATTTTTAAACTACTCGTATGCAACAATTTAATCATTTTTTTTTTTAATTAAAAATTTTTAAAATGAATAAATTATTGAAAAAAATGTAAATAGATTTTTACCAAATCCTAATGAATACCATTACTTAGCAGTTTTTAAGCAAACATGACTTAAACTTTCGTTTTTTTTTCGGTTTTTCGTTTTTTTTTTTTTTTAATATAATTTTCTTCTCACTTTTACTTTTAATTTTTTTTTTTTTTTTTTTGATAATAATAACTAAATTTAATTTATATTGACATCTCTAGCAGTATCTAAATAAGGTCAAAAATTAGCAAATAGGTACTTTTTAATACATATTTATTAATCATATGGTTTTTATTACAAAGGTATCTAGTTATTTTTATTTTTAGGCAAGTTTAGACTATATTATTATATAATAAGTAAATGGTATATATTACTCGAAAATTCATGACTGAAAAATAAAAATAGGTGTTACTACTACAACTACATCATAATTAAGTACTTTTAGTAGTAGGTACTTGTATTTATAAATGAAAACGGCTAATACGACTTAGGTATATAAAAGATTACCAAAAGTATTGTACCAATAATTACTAATTAAAATAATAAAGCATTTTTTTTTAAATTTGTCTTTCTTTAGATAGTTTTAATAATCTTGATTGTTGTTTGATTCATAGGTACTTCATTTGTGACATTATGGACATTAGTACTCCCTAAAGTAGAACACAGTTTATACTTTCATAGAAATAAGGAATTACCAGTAAATATTAAATTAAAACTATCTAACGGGGTTGCTATTGATGACAATGCATCAGTAAGTAATTTATTATGAATTAACATCTTTTACCTATAAAATGATTTATTAGACATCCTAAGCTGTATAATTTATATTTAACTTACCTTGAAATCTAATAACACAAATTGCATGAATTTTTTAGGTACCTAGGTAACCAAAAATTGCAAAATTAATTTTTCTTTATCTGTGGTATTATTAAATAATAATTGCTAAACCAATTTTCTGCATAAAATCTATACATTTTAAATTTAAAATTTAATTTTCTGGTACATAATTTAACTATTGTAAAAACTTAATAATTGATATTAAATAATTTTAATAAAATAAAAACATAGGTAAGTGAATACCACTCCGCTGTTCATTAAATTTTGAATGGGTCACTATTAAAGTAGGTAATTTTCCTAATTTTATCGAAAACATATCATGTAATCGTACACAAAAAAAAAATAAAAACATCATAATAAAATCAATACAATCATCACTTCTCTTAGAATCCAAAACTGGTTTACATTTATAGTCAATTTAAAAAGATAAAAATGTTGCTCTATTAAAGGTGTTTTTGTGGGTGTGTTTGCATATGCAATGCAGAGACATATTTTGCACTTATATATGTTTTAATTGAACATTTAATTATTTACAGTTAGATAATTTATGAATATTAAACATTGGTGAAACTATTGAGATGAAATTTATATAGTATACTAAAATGCTGCAATTATTAGAGACACATTTTTTCAATATTAAATTTTGATGATTTGTAAAATTTTATTCTCCATTTTTTAATTACTTAAACTATCACCTATAAATACGAATTAAGTCTAAATTTTTTTTATTTGTATGAATAATTTATATTATCCGGAGAGCAATTGAATAAAGGGACAATTCCCATTATCTACCAAACATTTATTGTTATTTTTACTTTATTAATACCTACAACTGGCTACATCTATAATTTTTTTTCATTTAAAATAGGTATTAAGATCTAACTCTGCAGTATATAAATATAAATTTTATTTAACCTTCTACTAACATGTAATGTAAAAGATTCGACAAGGGGGTCCACAAAATGGCTAACTGAACATAAACTAGGTATTAAAAGTTATGATAATTACATCGTTTCATTTATAAATGATGTATACTCGTATACATCTAGGCCATATTATACGTTTTAGACGCTGGCTTAGATAGCCTTCTACAAGTTATTATTTATTAGTAATTTGTATAAAATTAAAAAAATGAGTTTTTTATAGTTATGTTGTACTTTGGAAGAATTCTGGACTAAAACAAGGAGTTTTTTTTTTTTTAATTCTCTGTTTGGTGGATATCTAATATCTATAGTATAAATATTCTATGGAATTTTGTTCTTTAATTTTAAAATTGTTATATCTTAAAGATACCTATAATTATTCTACTTAAGTATTTTTATAAATTTGTTCTCCTTTTTATTTTTTAAACGAATAACAGTAGTAACGTCTCATTGTATTTAGTAGAACCAAAATTGTGTTATCAACTATTGTTATTATTTAAGTTAAGTAATCTATTATCAATATTAAAGTTAAAAACATAATTTATGTTTTTACGTTGGTTTTTTTACCTTTTTTACGATATTTCAATTTTTATACGAGTTATGATTATAAAAATTTTGGTATTTAAAAATACTCATACAGCCATATCTCGCTTTAAAAGTGAAATGTCGTAAAAATTTTAACTTAAGAATACAGATAGATAATGTTCTTAGCTTTAACTATTCGCACTATACTAGAGTTAATAACATACATTTTCCATATTGTACGTGGGTCAGAGAAAAAAACAAATAGTGCGCTGATATTAATGGAAAAGTCTTTGTACTCATAACTGATAATATGACTTTTCCTTTTTTTGAATTAAGTAATCTATTAACTAAAAACTATCATATTTAGTTTTAAAAACTTTAACACACCAGGCGTCAAAAAAGAATAAACAATGGAAACACAAAATTAATGAACTTTTCTAGAAATATTCTTATAACTAAGTAATAATGTCTAATATTTAAAAGTAAATTATTATATAACAAGTTGAAAACAATAATATCATTTTAGTCGTTCTAAAATAAGCGTAATATATCAATACGAATGTATTTAATAGGTATTAATAAATGTCGAAATTGAATAAAGACTGCACGTTAGATACGTGCATAGAAAATATTTTCGAATGGCCTACATAAATTTCAAATTAAAAGTTATGCACATGATATTATATTAGCTATGATTTAAACATATTTTCTTCCTTATGATAGAGATAGGTACTGACTTTTTAGTCATTAACTTTTTTAAGTACTTATTTAAATTAACTATTAATATTATTCAAATTATTATTATTGTGTATTTATGTCTACCTTATCACTTAGTACATTATAATATTCTTCTTTTATTTTGGATCTTGGTTTTTTTTTCTTAATGCAAACAAAATAAGTAAATCGTGTATGTAGTAATCTTTATAGATACGAGTAGCTTATAAGTTATAATAATGTATAGAAAAGGTAGATTAAAGTAAAATACCATCACATGATCAGTTGATGTTTCGATATTAGTATTTTGCTATTTTCTATTAGAAAGAAATAAATATAATACAATATTGCGATACTAGAAATACTATTAGTATGTACTATGTAGTTTATATAGGCAATATTCTTTGAAAGAGATTTCAGTCATTGATCACTGGTTTGTTTTTTTTATAAATTTATTGTATCTGTGGTGCGTATATAATCCTGTTAGCAGAAATGAGGAGAAATGTATTAAATTTAAATAATTTATATCTATACACATAAAATACTGTGTGTCTATTTAATAATCATCTATTTTTAAGGGAGATTATTAAAATTTTTATTGGGTTAACCTCTCCCCCTATTTTCATCAATGTGAGCCTCTAAATAATGATCCCGTCAAAGAATGCACACACTGACATGCTATGATTAAAATAATAGTATCTTATTAACCGTAACTGGTTAAAGATTAAGACACATTAAATAGATTAAACAGAAAACGGTTGAAAATAATTTATTGAGACAACTTTTAAAATGTTTATTAAAAAATAACCAACTTTTTATCTGAAATTTTTAATTGAAAACGTTCACTACCTTTTTTTTAATCACTTCTATTAAATCCATGCTTGCCACGCGTACAAACTTCCGAAAATACATCCTTTTTGTTTTTTATAGCTTAAAATTTACTAAAAAGTAGAAATAAACTATTTTGAGTAGACTTATTCGCTTTCGGATATTGTAATGAATTATGTTTTACTTACTTCAATTTTCTGTACATATACCTACCAATAATAATAAGATATACATTAATATAGTATAGGTATAATAAAAGATAACAAATACTCAACTATGTTTCAAACTTAAATATAACTTATTTGTAGAATAATGTTCCTAAAAATTCAATAGTCAATACATTTAAAGAAGTTAAGCAAATGATTTTTAATGATTTTCAATCGGCATATGAAAATACGTATGTAGTGAAAAAATGTGTTTGGTGGATATTTGCTGTAGTTGGTCAAATTATAGTAAGTAATAATTGTATTATTACAATTCTTTTTTTTTTTTTTTTAGTGTATACTTTAGTTTTATTAGACTCGTTTAAATACTTGTTTTTTATCAGGTTGCAACGTATATTCAAGTTTTATGGGAAGATGTGAACCAAAATAAAAAAAAACTAATGAACGGAGCTGTAGAATCTATACACACTCTTTGTGGTATCGTATCTGTGTTATATTATCTAAATTTTAATATTATATTAACCTAACCTATGATTGTTTAATAGGTGCAGCAGGTGCATACGCAGTTGGTCACTTGAGTTATGATTGGAAAAATGTTGGTGATATTATATTCTCAGTTGGAACCTTTGTATTGGCTTTATTATTATTCATAATATATTACTGTAATTCACTATGGATATTGTACCTATTATACATATCGTTTGGTACTTGTTACCAAATATTATTAACTATAACCACGTACGATACTATTACTGGTAATTTTTTAGGAATGTGCAAGTTCAAACGTATTTAACATTTTAATAATAATTAGGTATTTAATAATCAATCGTTACTTACCTACCAATTTAAATTCACATAATGAACAGTTTGTACAAACTATTTATTTTATTAACCACTTATTTAATTTCTGTTATATAAATTTGGGTCTGACGAGCGTTTTCTATAATCTTCTTGAATAATAGATAAAAATAAAAATATAAGGAAAATATCTACTAAAATCCTTAGGTATTAGGTAAACTGATTAATGATCACGCATTTACATTTATATTTTATAATCCATTTTCAGAGAGATAGATGATAGTTTTTTGCAGTCTTGAATAGAATTTATTTTATAGTCTCGTAAGTATTATAGGACATACGTAATTGTACTAATGTACTATAATTTAAAACTAAAATATTTAATTAAAGATAATTTCAAATGTATACTTTATGTAAATTTAACTTTGAAATCTTTATTTTATTACCCGGTACTTATTATAATTATTAACTATAATACGTATGCATAATATACTCATTGTACTACCTGCAATATATCGCTAATAGCCTATAAATTAAATTTGGTTTAATTAATTGCAATAATTAATTATTTATTAATGAGAAACCTATATAGCTTAAATTATTTATGACTTCACTTGACAAAAAAAAAAAAAAAAACAAACAGATCTATATTCTCCATTTAAATTATATTAATTATATTACACCTACGGATACTATATAAAGATATTCTTTATACTTTAATTCTATGTAGGTAATAAAAAAAGTTTATTTGTATAAATATTACAGACAGTAATTAGGTAGGTAACTACCTAATAAATTATTTGTCGGTTTTACATGTTGTTGACAAGGTTATCAATGATTAATGTTGCCGATTTCTAAAAATATTGACAATATTGCTTATCTTTGAAGTTTTTAATTGTTCAGCTAGAATTTAGGTATATTACAATAATTTATTAATTTATAGACCTTTATCTAATTATAGATCTTTTTATAGGTATGCTGCAGTGCTGAAGTAGGTAGTAGGTAGTTTTTATAAAAACAATAAAATATTGATAATATTTAGTGATTTTCTAACGGTGATTTTGTACTTATTATCTCTCGTTTTGAAAAAATTAAATAATAATTAATTTTGGTTATGTAAATAGGTCAGTAATATTGATTAAATTAAGTTTCTAAAACAAAACATTTTAATCAATTAAAAATTGATAACTTGCACACTCTTCATAATTTTTATAAGTATTATATTTATATCTTGTTTTAAAATCTTAATCCCCGTCAATCTTTTTATTTTGCAAAATATAAAATAGGTTTCTTGATCTAACTTAACGTAACCCAGTGAATACGAGATACTTACCACAAAGATATATTATATCGTATATACAAATTCCTATCTTAATATATTTATCTATATAATATGATTATATTTTATTTTAAAAATATTGTATCTTTAAAAAATGAGTTTAAATTAAGTTATTGACATTTGACGGGGGCTAGGACATATAAAACACTTTGTATTAAATCTATTACCATACGATAATAATAATAATAATTAAATCTATTTTCATAAATATTATTTTAGCTCTGAAGTTGCGAAACATATAAAACCTGACAGTTATGGATTAATATTTGGTTTTAATTTATTTATGTCGTTATTGATAATTTCAATATTTACATTACTATTTATCCAAGGCCTTATTGTTGTTATAGGAACAAAAAATCAGGTAAGTTATTTTATAGAATATTATTTAGGTATATACTGTTGGTGTCTTAAAACTTAGTACCTCATATTTTTTCTAAAACTATTTTTTTTATTGAATATATTTTATAAGTGGAAAATATAAAACATATTATTACTTAGATTTTCAACAAATGCAAGTTATTCTGTATATTTATGTACTTAAATAGTATATACATGTAAATTAAAAAATCGATATCTTTGGCATTTAAAAAATAGGATATAGTATATATTAATAGATAAATTTATTAACAATTTAATGTTACTTATTTCAAATATATGATTTATAAAGTAATTATGGCTTTTGTTAAAGCGTACTTAATCTATTATACCATCAACAGCCAACAGCCATTTACATATTTAGGTACTGCAAATATTAACTATTAACTTCTGATGAATTAATCCTATAATTTATTATACCCGTCAAAAAAATAATACATTCTTATATTATTAATATTATTAATTATTATGTCTCTTGTGTTTAGTAGTTGTACCTAATCATCAAGACAAAAGATAATATTTATTTTTTTTTTTTTTTTTTTATAGATTTTAACAGTTTCTTTGTTGTTTGCATCGATGTCCATAATATTATTTGTCACAGCTGTTAGAAAATGGAAAAAATAAATGCACAGGTACCTATTGTGAACCAATCAAGAATGCTTTAACCAAAAACATTTACATTTATTTTTGTACATTTATTTCATTGCATTATTTGAATACCATTATAATATTATCATAGATATACCTGTAGTATTTTTATTTATTTAAAGTAACAAAGTTAAGATTTAATCAAATATTTAAAATAAAAACATGGTTTGTAAAAGGAAAATTAGAATGATGCTCTTGTGGACTTAGTTCAACGATTCCTATATTAGTTATTTGTTTCGCATAGGTAATACCTTTATGTGAATTTTGCCATGTAATATGTTATATGCCACAATTATTTTTAAATTATTTAATTAAAAATGTAATAGAAGTTCATACTGAAATGAAAAATCAAAAAGCATAAAATAACATTTTTATTTATAAACTTTTTTTGTTGAAATGTAAGGAAATTAAATATTTAAACAAAGAATAACAATTTTAGTTGTTTTGTTGCACTTTAAAATTATTATTTGTAGGTTGAAGTGTTTAATGTATATTATTATGATATTTAAATATTTAATTAATACAATAAAATTTTCAATTGAAATTTGTATTCAGCAAAAATTTGTCTGCTGTATTACTAACTATAAAATAAATTATTTTGATAGTAATATAAATATAAATATTAAATACATCGTAGAATTAAAATTCAACACATTTATGACACATTTATAATTTACCCAATAACCAGGTGCATTCGATATACTAATTATACATATTAAAGAGTAAAAGAAAATTTAAATATTGGTAAATTATAAATTGAATAATTGTAATTTACAATCACTTTTAATAAACCAATTCTACATCCCAAATCTAAACGTAAATTTTTAATTTTTCTAAAATTCCTAAATTTATCATGCAAATCCTTTTTTGTGCTACTTTGTGTAAAGAAGATATTAAAAAAATCCAGCCTTCTATCATTGTAAAATAATTTTCATAATATTAATAAATAATAATAAATTTGCAATTTATAATTTATGTAAAATTACATCATTGTAGTCCAGCCGTCCAGGTTCATCATCATCACCTTTAATCAACTAAGTTAAATTCTTTAACCTAACCTAGCTTTGATATTATCGCTTTAGATTTTTCTTCAAAATCCCGTTCTTTTTTCCTTCTATATTTTTTTTTAACTTGAGAAACTCCTTCTAAAAATAATTATTTCAATTGAATTTGTTCTTTCCTGTTTAACATTATCAATTTGGTTTCTCATACAATTTACTTACACAGGAACATGTTTGTATCGTGGGGTTTTACTAATTTTTAGCTATTAGTGTATTATACCGACATCTGAGGGTAAACCTATCATTTAAATTAAAAAAAATTAGAAATACAGAAATATAGAAATACACAATAATAATAGTAGTAGTAACAAACATAATTATTTTTAACGATTTAATCACAATATATATTTATGACCATTTAGTGAGAATATTAATAAATATCTATAAATAATTATTACTGTATATTATATAGTTTAAAAGTTATAATTTAATTTATCCCATTTTTGTCTGTTCTGTTTAATCTAATTTAGAACACGGTGTGAGAGAACTTGATTTCCATCCACTAATAAATGCGTTAGTTACTGGAAATTTTCCACAACTACAACTGGAATTGTAATCATCTCCATCAAAAACATTTATGACTATTCCTTGGTAGTTCTTTTTTGCGAAAGCCCCCTAAAATAAATAACAAAAAAATATTTCAACAGGATGGAAAAATGATTACAATTTTGCTTTAAATTAGAGTAAGTAGAGCGAGTCATTGTAATAGATGAGTTAAATTTGAATTAAATTAATTTTATATATTGCGTTATTATTGTAAACGAAAAACGATTCCGAATGGAGAAGATCTGTCAGCTTATATCATTGAGTACGTACATTTTACTCTGTGTTTTTTAATTTCAAATTTCAATCGTTTTTTTTTTTGTCAAATATAACGTTATAATTATAACGTTTGCAAGTCCTGTTGAATACCAATCATACATTTGTCAAAGTTATAAACTACATTGTGATCATTTATGTCCACATTAAATGGAAAATTGGAAGTCAAAGAATTTTTTCAATATGTATTTTATATGGTACACTATGCTAATTTATAATGCATAGCCTTCTAGACTGCAACTATGGAGAAATATCACAATTTTACTTGTACCGGACAAATTACCAAATCATTTCGTCGAGTTCGTTTTAAGTGTTATCTATGTATCTCAGTAATTTAAAAAGTACTCATCAATATCCCATTATTGAATGATGGTTGTTTTGTCAAGCATGAAAATTTCAGTAAACTACTCCTAAGTTTTGATTATTATTGGCACTGTCATATTGTGAACATTGATCATGCATGTACTTAATCAAAATATTGTACTCGTACGGTTCGAATGTCTTTGGATAAAGGTTCTAAAGTTTCAGGAATTACAACAGAGTGCTTTATGGTTAAATCATTCGTTTAGGTTATAAATAAATCGCTGGTGTCGCAAAGTCTCATCTCAACAACGATTGATATCATTAGCTTTAGTTTTATCGAGTAATTTCGTTAATATGCGTATAATAAATTATACCATTTTTACCTCACAAATTGATAACATATATTGGAAAAGTTAGATCTTTAAATTCCTTATACAACGCGTTTGGCTTGCCTCCCTGTGAAAAGAAACAATCATACAACATCCCGAGTTTAGACAGAACTTTTACGAAAATGATACTTCAAATTTAATGTCGACTATCATTTAACCATCCTCAGGATAAAAAATTCAAAACGCGGAGTGCTGTCAATTATAACTCGTTTGTTAGACAGAATTGGTGCGTTAGCTGTAACATAAATTTGATTATGGACGAATCATTGTTCTCTACTTCTATCTCTCGTTAATCTGGAAGAAATCCTTGTAAAAATTGATAGCGGTACCTTTAATTTTCCAATGCAAATCAATAGCCAGAATACTCAGCAGAAATTCAACTTTTAGGCCTCAGATACCTCACTAAAGTGCTATGCAGTAATAGCTAAATTATGAACCCCATATCAAAAAGGAAAAATAAAGAATATTTTTCTCTCTATGAAGTCTATAGTTAGGGCTTTAAAAACAGGAAAATTGGAAACTTCTTTGTCTGCGTCAAACATCGCACAGTATGAAGCATTACTGTTTGCTCAAGTCTAAACTACATTACCAAAGATGAAAATATCCATCCCCTGGTAAAACATTTCAATTGATTTTTCTCGATCTTAAATAAAACAAAAAGGTTTCAAAATATTTGCTTAAAATAGGATCATACAAATTTAATTATTCAAAATGTTAGCGGAAATAGGTCAGATTTTGTACGGTAGTCAGATGAGGTATAATCAAGGTTAGATTATGCTTTGACACTTATGTATTAAATATCAAAAGTGGTATCTGTTATTCAATAATTATACTAAGTAAATCTTCGAACCTAGAAGATATTTTACACCTATTTTCAACTTTAAATCATATCCTGCTATCTGTTTTTATATATGTGTGTATCGGGTTTTTCTGCTTTTATGATTAAATTTCGTTCTATAACCAGAGATTAAATAAGTTTGAAATATATTTACTTGATCATATGAAAGCTGTGAAGGGTTCTGACACCAAAGAGATGAATTTTTTGTATGGGTGCTACAATACTGAAATAAAAACAAAACATAGATTTTCAATGTAAAAACATAAAAACATAAAATTTAAAGACAAAGACATATTTTAACCTAACTAAAAATATATTTCACTAAAAATAAACTGTAATCTATGTAATCGAGACTAATGTATTAAGTTAATGTATCACGTTTTTTTGCTATATGAAGTTTGATAAAAAGGGATTGCTAATTTAATTACCTTAATTTCAATTGTATAAAACAAACGTAAAGACAGTATATTATATTTTTACATAAAAATGTTTCTTTTTCTTAAGTATATAATCAGTTAAAGGGCACAGTAATACCTCAAAATATTCAAGTCCACTTCATCTAAACTTAAATTATTATTAAAACTAACCATCATTTTCTTCTTCATTCAAAAAATAAAAATTGTTATCAAAAATTATATAAAAATTATTTTAAAAATGTGAGTGTGAAATTGTCATTTTTTTAATGAACAGTTAATAAATATTTTTCTCTATATCTTTTTTTACGGGTGCAAAACAAATGTTCTTATCATGTGGTCTGATTTAAACAATATGGTATAATTTAATTTGTAGGTATAAACAAAAATTAAATATTTGGGTGAATAATTCTAGATAGGGTTGATTCTTAAACTTTTATATATACAATGTAAAATTAATCATACCATAGAATACGACGTTATTAGCTTATAACTTATTAACGGTTGACCGTCTGGAATCCTTATATAACACTTTAACATAGCATAAATTTTCGAAATATCCATTTTTGAATCAGTTACAGCTGAAGTCACTTGATCCTGAAAAATTCTATAATTATAGTTGTATTTTTTAATTGAAATATTTTACTATTATTAAGAACAAATACCAACTATACTCGTAATATTAGGACTTGGACTTTTGACTGGAGTCATACCATATTTTTTTATTTCTGAATCACAAAAATTGTTTATTTTTGCAAAGTCAATTAAATAAAGATCCAACACTTTATTTGTTATTGTAAAATCAAATCCTTAAAGAACATTATTGGAATATAAAGAAATAACTTATATAAACATAAAAGATAACAATAATTTATTGTCCTCAAGAAAACTGATAAAGATATAATTTACTTACCCGAAGAATTATTAAAATTTGTATAGGTCGTTGCATCTATGATTAAACCAAATTGTATTTTATGTTTTACTTGTTCTTTGACTTGACTAATAAATGTACTTATTTTTTGGGGAAAATTTTCCATGACATCCTTAAAAAATTATACTAATCAATCAAAACGACACTATTATCATGTTATACATTAAATTTTGTAAATAAGAATTTATTTAATTCTGTGTTAATTAGATTTATTAACAATGAGTTAGAATTATTTTACTATGTGTCTCAAGACGTTTAAACACAGCTATCATTAAATGATACAAGTGATCAGAGAATTATAAATAATGTGTACACTTAAATATCAAAATTTCAAAATCATATTATGTTTTAAAGATTATTTTATAACACTGATAAAGATTACTTAGAAATATATCTGTTCTGATTGAATAATAGTCTTATAAAAGAACCTTTCGAAAATCGATAAAAAAACATAATTTTCATTTTACGGGTAGTTTATGTATTATTATAAAAAAGAACTGTTTTACAAATATAATTTATAAAAGTAAGTACTGGAAATTTACATATTTTTTCACCACTTCTGTAAAAGCCAACTAAAATCAATTTAATTATAATAGTCATGGTAGCTGTATTCTAGTTGAAAATTTAAGAATTTTTACATCTTCAAAATCAAATTATACATAATTATAATATTAGAACTTTAAAACTATTGTTTAATTAAACTATCATCTATTTTACTCACATAAATCATTCTTATATTTAATAGAAGACCACTAATTTTAAAATAATTTAAAAAATTGACTAATGGACCCATTGTTACTTTCTTATATTTTTCCTCATCCTTGGGAACAAATATTGAGGGCCAGTCTGTTTCATAAGTGAATCCAAGTATTGTATAAACAATCTTGTTAGCTTTATGCAAGGCTCTTATTACACCTTTAAACACATATAATTTTTAATATATTAAGAAACAATATTTAACTTTTAGTATGAATTATATTTATAAATAATATATTTATATGTTTTTACAGGTATAACTTATAATGCTTGATATATAATAAAGTATTGTATTCATTTTTACGTTACCGCGAACCATCAGTATCTATTCTATATCTTTAAACAATTATTAATAGTTTAATGGCTTACTGACACAAATAATTCAGCATATAACAGCATTTATCATTTGATCATAATTCATTTGTTATTATTTTTTTTTGGTTTAAATATCTTTTTATAATACACCCACTTGAAATATTTTCTTTAGCTGATGCTAATTATTTAAGTCACTTAAAAGTTACAAGTATTGATAAACATTGAAAAATGAATATTCAATGATGCATTATCAATTTATTATTCGTTAACTTTAATTATCATGGTATTATTTATAGAGTGTACCCTACCCCATAACGTTTATAGTACGTTATTCACTCCTTATTAGTCTATAATTCATTATTTTATATTAAATTAATGCAAAAAAACTTATGATTTCGATTATGAAAATATTTATAATATATTTTCCTGTTTACATATGTTAAAAAGAATGTTATATAAGTGCTCTTCAATTTCCATATGTATTAATGTCCAAACAAAATGTCTTTGGAAATAGCCTATTTGTTACTTTTTATAATTAATGGACATCTGTTAGTAAGTCTCACTACTATATCTTTCTGTATTTAAGTTGCTTATAATTATTACCTTTATTTGTTTCTGTTGTATGGGTATCAATACCATCATCCCTGTCAAAAGCATATTGACCTATGGTAATTATATCACAATCCTCTGGGATTTCGGATACATTATAATCATAAGTACTGACCCAGGCACTTCCAGCAATATTACAAATTATTTCACTTGGCCATTCATCTTAAAAACATGTATACATATTTTTAATCCAATAATACATGAAGAGAAAATAAAATTATTTTAAATATTTAAAAAAAACATGCTGTTAACTATTCTGCTGTTCAGTGGGTGTTTGATGTATCTCTTCATTGATAAGTTAAATGTAATTGATATGTTAAATATGAAATCAAAGATAAATAACACCATACAAACAATGATTCTGATATATAATAACCTATTGAATGAATCTAAATATTTCGAAAATTACATTACGTATCGTAAAATGTAATCATAAAAGTAAAAATGTCAAGTCTTAATATTTTTGATTTACCACCAAATATCTAAAATCGTTATTCACTCTTAAAGTATCTAAATTAATCGTCAGAATTGTAACTACAAATATTTATGAACATTTTTGTAGATTTACTCACTACTTTTTTTAAATATTATTCTAGTATAAAAAAAAATTGTGAGTAATCTTAATTAATTGTAAAAATAGTAAAAATTGTTGATTGTTGACCGTATTGAAGCAACTAGATTCAGATTCTGATTAAAAAAGACATTGAAGATTTAATTCAAGATATTTTTAGTGGCAAACAGATACATTAAATTACACAGATTATTGTGAAAAAATATATTTATTTCTCCGTTTAACTGATTTATTTTTTTAACAATTTCAATAATATTGTACTCTTCTTAATTGAAATAATTACATTTTTATAAAAAAAAAAGACTATAATATTTACCTTGTGTCTTCAATGCAGGACAAAACAAAATACCCAAAACAATTACTACTATGGTTTTCATTTTAATAATTAATTATAATTTTCGAGATATTACTTTTACTTAAAATAATTTTAACAAATTACTCATAGAATGTTTTACTTTATTGTTGACGGAATTAAAAATGAAGATTTAACTTTATTTATTCATTGTTAAATGTTTAATAATTTTACGAATTAAAACCATACAATTTGAACATCTGCGATGTATTTTTATTTAAAATGTATAAATATTATGCTATGAAATTATATAGCACATGAGTAAATAAAAAATTAAAACATTATGATATAGTATAATATGATAAATTTTATAATTAATTTTCTGGTAAACAATATAGTTTTTGGATTACAAAAAAAAAAATCAATATCCATTTATACTAATACAGTTCTTAAATGTTCTGCTCATTATAAGCTACATCACCATTTTTATAACATTGGTCTTGTAGTATATCTAAATCTAATGCAAGAATCATTATACTCTGCATTATGGTATTAGCCAACGCTGGAGCTGTTCAATATTTCACATACACTAGATCTAATTTATTGTAGTTTGATTATTATTTTCTAAGAATAATTGTCTACATACCGAATGTATAAACCTAAATGTTCATACTTTGCGTTTCATCAGCTAGAACACTAAAAATACCAGTTCTTTTTTTTTCAATGTTTTCTTGAATACAATATATCTATATAGATCAATAATTTTATTTCGTATGATTGATGACGAGTAAATTGAACTGCTGTCAGATGTTTGAGATAAAATGTGCTCTTTTAGGCACAGAACTCACGATTTTGCACGTAATCGTTGATTACACGAAATTTGCCATCATTGGTACCTACCGGTAACGATTTAATTTTTTTGAAGTATAGTATAAATTAAAAAAATAGTGATTTACTGCAAAGCTGTAAGTATAGCTATCGAGCAATATGTATGTTTACATATTGAACTAAAATCGGTATAATCATTTTTTGTTTATATGTAATAATTAGGTAATGTTCATTTATATTTGTGTCTAAACATTGATATACCATAGCATTAATAATAAAAAAATTATATTTAATACGTATCTACAGATACTTTTTATAGTTAGATAATCTTTACACTTAAATTCTTTGTAGGTAAAAAAAAAAGTTGATTTGTATAAATATTATAGTTATTAGGCAGGGTACTACCTAATAAATTATCTGTCAGTTGTTAACTTTGTTGACAAGGTTATCAATGATCAATGTTGACGGTTTCTAAAAATACATACAATATTGCTTATCTTTAAAGTTTTTAGTTGTTCAGCTAGAATTTAGGAATATTACAATGATTTATTATTTTATTGACATTTAACTAATTATAGATCTTTTATAGGTAGGCTGCAGTGCTGCAATAGTAGGTATCATTTTAATATTTTATATTCAGTATTTTTTTGATATTTTTGTTTTTGTTTTTAGGGGATATATAAATCATTTTTTATAAATAACCAAATAAAATATGTTAGTTTCTAATATTTATATAAAAATAAATTGTTGATAATAGTTAGTGATTGTCTAACGATGATTTTGTAGGTACTTATTATCTCTCATTTTGAAAAATTTAATAATAATGAAAATTGATTATGTAAGTAGGTTAGTAACATTGATTAAATTAAATTTATAAGTCATAAAGTTTTAATCAATTAAAAATTGATAACCTGCACAATCTTCATAATCTTTATAATTATTATATACGATATTATTAAATATATATTAAATATCGTATATTTATCTTATTTGTGTTTTAAAATCTTAATCCCCCGTCAATCGTTTTTTTTTTTTTGTAGAATATAAAGTCGGTATCTAAATCTAAGGAGATACTTACCATTCAGATATACCATATCGTATATACAAATTCCTATATAATATGATTATATTTTATTTTAAAAATTGTATCTTTAAAAATAGTTAAAATTAAGCTAATTACATTTGATGGGGGCTAGGACATTTAAAACATTTTGTGTTAAATTTATTTTCATAAATATTTGTTTAGCTCTGAAGTTGCGAAACATATAAAACTTGACAGTTTTGGATTAATATATAGTTTTAATTTATTAAGTCGTTATTGATAATTTCAATATTTACATAACTACTTATCCAAAACCCTATTGTTGTTTTAGAAACAAAAAAAATACGGTAAGTTATTTTATAGAATATTATTTATGTTTATGTTGTTGATGTCTTAAAACTTAGAAGCTCACATTTTTTCTAAAACTATTTTTTTTTATTGAATATATTTTATAAGTGGAAAATATAAAACATATTACATAGATTTTCAACAAATGCAAGTTATTTTGTATATTTATGTACTTAAATAGTATATATATGTAAATTAAAAAATCGATATCTTTGGCATTTAAAAAATAGGATATAGTAGATATTAATAGATAAATTTATTAACAATTTAATGTTACTTATTTCAAATATACGATTTATAAAGTAATTATGGCTTTTGTTAAAGCTTATATAATCTACAAAACCATCAACAGTCAACAGCCATTTACATATTTCGGTATTGCAGGTACCTACTAACTATTTAACTTATTAACTTCTGCTGTGTTTATCCTATGATTTATTATACCCATTAAAAAAATAATACATTCTTTTAATATTAATATTATTGATTATTATGTATGGTATTATGTCTTATGTGTTTAGTAGTTGTACCTAATCAAAAATACAAAAAATAATGTTTTTTTTATAGAAATTTACAATTTTTTTGATGTTTCATGTATGATTTTTAAGATTGTACATTATCTCTTGGAAGTATTTATTAAAATATTACCTTTATCACACACAGATTGTATTATGATAATCACGAACCGTATAAGAACAGTGAAATTATTTGAAATATAATTAAGGATATAAGATTGGTACGTTATGTTTTTTTCAAAATTATAACAGTTGATACAGTTGATAGCAAACTCGTGTATGTGTGAAGAGGGTTTATCAACTATGAACCCGGGTGTCACTCATACTGGAGCTAGTAGACGTAGCCGTTATTTACTCCCAGTCGCATTCCACATCTGGTAGCAGCTAACGTGTTACGCCAAGGCATATTGCATTTATTTTCTTAGGAAACATGCAATTCTTAAGCTTCTCCTTTTGTTCGTTTAAGCATTTTATAAAAAAAAAAAAAAATAATTATATATTATTTTAGTCTTTAAATCTTTTTTTTATTCAACAGATAGCGAAATACAAAAACATTTTTTACTTATATTTGCATTTGAAGTTAGAACTTTGATATTCTTCAAAATCACTAAAATTGTTGTAAGAATTTCATAAAAATTTTTTTTATAGCCAAATTTTAAAAATTTCATAAAAAAGTCCTCATAATCATCTCATATTGATTCTATTAAATGAAAAAATATATAAAGGAAATTATGTTTTTTATATTTATACTAATGTACGAGTACAGCAAGTCGTACCCACATGTCTACCTTATTTAATATTAAATGGTTGTGATTAATTATATATTTATGTATTAATACTTCAAAAACTCCAAGTAAAAGGTTTTTACATAGAAACTGATGAATTTAATTTAATCTAAATATTAAATTTAAATATAATATATGAAAAGTTATTGGGAAATTAAAAAAAATAAATATATTATTGTTTTTTATATATAGTATAATATACTCATTTTTTTTTTTAGGCAATGTTCCATTTTTATAATTATGTGTTCGTCGTTAAAATGTAAAAGGTATCAAATAGTGGGAAATATATAGGGTAACATCTGGGAAAACAATTTGCAGAATTCAAGTACCTAGTTCTTTTCATTGATAAAACACATCGATTCAGCATAGTCACTCTACTCGTATGCGATCGTTCCCTTAGCTAAACGTAAACTTTTAAAATAATTAAGTAGACACTATTATGTTTCACCCTAAAAATTCTAAGAAATAATCAATAAAACATTTTAAGTTTTTTTTTTTTTTTTTTATCATAAATTAGATAAGAATAAGATTTCTTGAAGCAAATTTTAGAGTACTTGTACTATTTTATATATATCGTAAAATTTGAATACATTTTGAATAAATACTGAAAATTAATTAATTATTTATTAATAATTTTGTTTTGATAAAATCAAATTCATTCTTTCATAATATATTAATCACATTATTTAATGTGTTAAATAATGAAAAAATACAGTTTCTTTGGTGTATAATTCATGAAAAAAAATAACACTATTTATTACTAAAATTTACAAAACCATAATGGAAATTAATTAAAAAATAGTTTAGAAAGAAATATAAGGTAGAGTATAGATATATTATGAAACTCATTTGTTTATAAATATTTTTATTATATATAATTACAACAGTATTAAGAGTACCTATTCGTAAAAATTAATTTAAATAAATACAGAAATTAAAATGTTTTTACCTTTAATTCAAATAATTCATTAACCATTATTCCTCATATTAATTCATACATATTATATATTCATGTAATGGTTTTTATCCTGAACTTCAGTTTTCAGACATATTTTTCTGGTTAGGTGTTATCATTACATTGTATAAATTAATAAAAATTATAAATAATAATTTTTGAACAGAAATACACATAACAATAGTAATAATCACAAACATTATTATTTTTAACGATTTAAACACATATACTTATGACCATTTAGTGAGAATACTGATAAATATCTATTAATTATTATTACTGTATATTATATAGTTTAAAAGATATAATTTAATTTATCCCATCGTTCTCTGTTCTATTAATCTAATTTGGAACACGGTGTGAGAGGAGTTGATTTCCAGCCACTTATAAATGCCTTTGTTACTGGAAATTGTCCACAACCACAACTGGAGTTGAAATCATCTCCATCAAGACACTTTATGAAAATTCCTTGGTAGTTCTTTTTTGCAAAGGCCCCCTAAAATAAATAACAAAAAAATATTTCAATAGAATAGGAAAAATGATTAAAATTTTGCTGTAAATTAGAGTAAGTAAATTAAGTCACTGTAATAGATGTTAAATTTTATGTTTTGTTATTAAACGGAAAAATAAAGAATATTTTTCTCTCTATGAAGTCTTAAGTTAGGAAAATTGGAAAATTGGAATCTGTTTGTTTGCGTCAAACATCGCTCAGTATGAAACATTACTGGTTGTTCAAGTCTAAACTACAATAACAACTATGAAAATATCCATCAGTCAAGTCTACGTCTAGTAAAACATTTCAACTAATTTTTTTCAATTTAAAATAAAACTTAAGTACTTCAAAGTATTTGCTTAAAATAGGATAACAAACATTTACTTATTTATTCAAAATTTTGGCGGGTATTAGTCAGTTTGTACGTTTTTAAGAAGAGAAAAAATCAAGGTTAGATTTTGCTTTGATACTAATGTATCAATTATCAAAATTGGTAATTGTTATTCAACAATTATAATTAGTAAATCTTCGAACCTAGAAAGCATTTTATACCTATTTTTAACTTTGAATAAGATGCTTTGATCATTGAAGTTTCAGTCGGTCAGATGATGACGTTATTCAATCAAATATCAATTCACGATTTGGTGACTACAAGAATACCTAGAATTTGGAATTTTAGTTTTCTTGCTACTCTATATTTTGAGTGGCTTTGAAAAGCCGTAACCAAAAAACCTATAACTTATACTGACCATGATATAGATACCAACATACTCAATTTTCGAAGATGACGTTTAAATACGGCTACCTATAGCATAAAACGATGACAATTTTTTATGGTTGGTTATCGACATATTGTCAATCATTCTTTAGATAGACCAGTCACCACCACAATTAGGGTTAAACATGTGTGCATATTATACATATAACAAAGTAAAACCTATCACTAAATTGTATTAATATTAAGGTAAGATCTGTAAGTTAAGGTTATATAAGTTTTAATTAAAAATATTTCCAGTTGTAAATATTTTCTTCCCTAAAATACATTTTATAACATATTACACTTAGTTTTTTGCCGTACATTTCATACTGTTTCATATCCTGCCATCTGTCTTTATATATGTGTGTAACGGATTTGTCTGTATTTCTGATTAAATCCCGTTCTATAATCGGAGATTAAATAAGATTTAAATATATTTACTTGATCATATGAAAGCTGTGAAGGGTTCTGACACCAGAGAGATGAATTTTTTGTATGGATGCTGCAATACTGAAATAAAAACAAAACAGAGATTTTCAATGTAAAAACATAATAACATAAAATTTAAAGACAAAGACATATTTTAACCTTAATAAAAATATATTTCACTAAAAATAAACTGTAATCTGTGTAATCGAGACTAATATATTAAGTATTTTCATGTTTTATTGCTATATGAAGTTTGATAAAAAGGGATTGCTAATTTAATTACCTTAGTTTAAATTATATAAAATAAATGTAAAAATTGTATATATTTTTTCATAAAAATGTTTCTTTCTCTTAAATATATAATCAAGCTAAAAAGGCACAGTTATACCTCAAAGCATTTAAGTCCACTTCATTTTAACTTAAAATATTATTAAAACATAAATTTCTTCTTCATCAAAAAAAAAAAAAAAATTTTTATCATAAATTGTATTAAAATTGTTTTAAAAATATGAGTGTGAAATTGTTATTTTTTTAATGATCAGTTATTAAATATTTTTCTCCATTTCTTTTTTTTACGAGTGCAAAACAAATGTTCTTATCATATGGTCTGATTTAAACAATTTGATATGATTAAATTAATATAAACTAAAATAAAATATTTGTGTGAACGCTTTAATAACTCTAGGTTGAGTTAATTCTTAAACTTTTATCTCTACAGTATAAAATTAATTGTACCGTAGAATACGTCGTAATTTGCTTTAAAAATAATAGCGGTTGATCATTTGGCATCAATATTAAACTCTGTAACCAAGCATAAATTTTCGACTTATCCATTTTTGAATTAGTTACAGCTGAAGTCACTTGTTCCTGAAATATTTCGTAAATAATGTAGTATTTTTAAATTGAAATATTTTACTATTGTTAAGAACAAGTACCTACCATAGTCGTCATATTCGGACTTGGGCATGTTATTGGAGCCAAACCATCTTGCTTACCTTCTGAATCACAAATGTTTAAATTTACAAAGTCAATTAAATAAATATCCAACACTTTATTTGTTATTGTAAAATCGAAACCTTAGAGAAAATGAAGAATGCATTAACATAAACATAAAGGATAACAGTAATATATTATCCTCTGAAATATTGATATTGGTAGATTTTTCTTACTTGAAGTATCATTAAAATTTGCATAGGCATATGCATCTATGATTAATCCAAATTTAATTTTATGTTTTACTTGTTGTTTGACTTGACTGATAAATGTACTTATTTTTTGAGGAAAATTTTCCATGACACCCTTAATAAAAATTATATTAATCAATCAATACGATAGTAGTAATATGTAATACATTAATTTTTGTAAATAAGAATTTATTTTATTCTGTGTTGATTAGATTTATTAATATTTTGTTCGAATTATATAGCTATGTTTTAGGTTAAACATCGCTATCTTTAATTGTATAAATAATGGTTACACTCAAATACTAAAATCTCAAAACCATATTATGTTTTAAAGATTATTTTATAACACTGATAAAGATAACTCAGAAACATATCTGTTTTGATTGAATAGTCTTATAAAAGAACCTTTCGAGAATCGAAAAAAAAACATAATTTTCATTTTCGGGTATTTTATGTATTATTATAAAAATGAACTGTTTTACAAATATAATTTATAAAAGTAAGTACTGTGAATTCACATATATTTACAACACCTCTGTAATAGCCAACTAAAATAAATTTAATTATAATAATCAGGGTAGCTGTAATCTAGTTGAAATTTTAAGAATTTTTACATCTTCAAAATCAAATTAAACATAATTATAATATTAGAACTTTAAACTATTGTTTAATTAAACTATCTTCTATATTACTCACGTAAATCCATTCTACACTCAAGAGAAGACCACTAATTTTAAAAGTATTTAAAAAATTGACTAATGGACCTATTGTTTCTTTCTTATATTGTTCCTCATCCTGAGGAGCCAATATTGAGGGCCAATCATCATTAATATAGAAGCCAAGTTGTGTATAAACGACCTTGTTAGCTTTGTTCAAGGCTCTTAGTACACCTGTAAAACATATAAATTTTAATATATTTAGACACAGTATTCAAATTTTAGTATGAATAATATTTTTTATAATTAATACATTTTTATATACTTAACAGTTATAACTTATAACACTTATTATATAATAAACTACTATTCTCATTGATACATTACCACGAACCATCAGTAACTATTCCATATCTTTAAACAGTTATTAATAGTTTAATGGCTTACCGACAGAAATACTACATCATATAACAACATTTATCATTTGATAATTATTCATTTATTTATTTTTTTGTTTTTGAATATCTTTTTTGAATGCATTTCTTTAGCTGTTGCTAATTATTTAAGCCAATTACAAGTTACAAGTGTTGATAAATATTGAAAAATAAATATTATATAATGAGTTATTAATTTATTATTCGTTAACTTTATTATCATGATATTTGTTTTAACGTTTTAGTACATAATTCACTTCTTTTTAATCTATACTTGATAATTTCATATTTAATTAATGAAAAAAGATTTTCACGCATGATTCTGTTTAATATCATAAAACATTTTTTATATATTATCCTGTTTTAATATGTTGGAAAAATTGTTTTATAAGTGCTCTTTAATTTTCATAAGTATTAATTTCCTTAGCTTATTTGTTCGTTTTTATAAAGTATGGAAATTTATTAATTAGTCTCATTACTATATGTTTGTGTATTAAAGTTTTTTATAATAATTACCTTTATCTGATTCTGTTGTATATGTATCAATACCATCATTCCTGTCAAAACTATATTGACCTATAGAAATTATATCACAATCATCTGGTATTTCGGATATATTGAATTTATATGTACTGATCCAGACACTTCCAGCTATAGAACAAATTATTTCGCTTGGCCGCTCATCTTAAGAACATGTATACATATTGATTAAATCCAATAATACATAAGGAGAAAATATAATTATTTTTAATATTTGAAAAAAAACATGCTTTAGACTATTCTGCTGTTCAGTGGGTGTTGGATGGTGTTGGATGTATCTCATTATTGATATATTAAATGTAATTGACGTGTTAAATATTAAATAAAATATAAATAACTCTATACAATGAATGATTCTGATCAAAGTTGTATTACCCTAATGAATGAATCTAAATATTTTAAAAATTATATAACGTATCGTAAAATGTAATCATATAATAAAAATGTCAAGTCTCAATATTTTTAAATTACCACAAAATATCTAAATCTATAATTTCTGTTTAAGTTTCTACATTAATCGTCTGAAATACAACTAAAAATATTTATGTATTGAAATAATTGCTTTTTTTATATAAAAAAAAAGATTATTTATTTACCTTGTGTCTTCAGTGAAGGACAAAACAAAATACACAAAATAATCACTATAATGGTTTTCATTTTAATATTTAAATATAATTTTCGAGGTATTAATTTTACTTAAAATGATTTTAACAAATTACTCATAGAAAGTTATATTTTATTATTGAAGGAATTTAAGATGAATGATTAACTTTGTTTATTCATTTTTAAATTTTTGATTAATAATTTTACTAATTAAAATCATAAAATTTGAACATCTGTGATGTATATTTATTTAAAATATATAAATATTATGCTATGAAATTATATAGCACATGAGTAAATAAAAAATTAAAACATTTTGATAAGATTTATAATATGACAAATTTTATAATTAATTTTTTGGTAAGTCATATCGTTTTTGAATTACAACAAAAAATTCAATATTCATATAAACCAATATAGCTCTTAAATTTTCTGCTCATTACAAGCTAAAGCAGCACCTTTATAACATTTGCCTATCAGTATATCTAAATCTAATTCAAGAATCATTTTACTATGCATGATGGTAGTCGCCAACGCTGAGGCTGTCACTTATTTCACATGCACTATCTCCAATTTATTGTAGTTTGATTGTTTTTTGTCAGAAAAATTGTCTACATACCGATTGTATATAGCTAAATGATCATAGCTTTTGCTTTATCAGCTAGAACAATAATTGTACCAAAACTTTTTTTTTATTTACAACATTTTCTCGAATACAATATCTGTATAGATCAATAATTTTATTTCGTACGATTGATAACGAGTACATTGAACTGCTATCAGATGTTTGAGATGAAATGTGTTAATTTAGTCACAGAACTCGTGATTTGGCACGTAATCGCTGATTACACGAATATTGCCATCTTTGGTAACTACTGGTAACGATTTTATTTGTTTGAAGCATAGTATAAAATAAAATAATTGTGATTTACTGCATAACTTTAGGTATAGATATCGAGCAATATGTATGTTTACATATTTTACTAAATAATTAGGTAATGTTCTTTAAATAAATACACATACTAACCTATAAATAGAAATATTTAAAAATAAATATAAAAAATTATCAAAAGACATTTATATTACATGAAATAATACGGAAGCAAAAATATGAATAAATACAGTTGCTTTAGTGTATATTAAATGAAAAAATTAACATTATTTATTACTACAATTTACAAAACCATATTGGAAACTAATTAAAAAATAGTTTAGAAAGAAATATAAGGTAGAGTATAGAAATATTATGAAACTCATATGTTAATAAATATTTTTATTATATTTTATTACAACAGTATTAAGAGTATTCGTAAAAATTAATTTTAATAAATACAGAAATTAAAAAGTTTTAACCTTTATTTTGAATAATTTATTAACCTATATTCCTCAAATTAATCCATACATATTATATTTTCATATTATGAATTTTATGCTAAACTTCAGGCATATTTTTCTAGTTAGATGTTGTTATTATATTGAATAAATTGATAAAAGTGATAATTTTTTAACAGAAATACACATTATAATAGTAGTATTAAAATACATTAGTATTTTTGACGATTTAAACACATATATTTATGACCATTTAGCAAAAATGTTGATAAATATCTATAAATAAATATTACTGTATATCATAAATGTATAGTTTAAAAGATATAATTTAATTTATCCCATTTTTGTCTGATATGTTTAATCTAATCTGGGACACGGTGTAAGAGGAGTTGATTTCCAGCCACTAATAAATGCCTTTGTTACTGGAAATTGTCCACAACCACAACTGGAGTTGAAATCATCTGCATCAAGACACTCTATGATAATTCCTTGATAGTTTTTTTTTACGAAAGCCGCCTAAAAATAAAAACAAAAAAGTAAGTATTTCAAAATTATTACAATTTAGCTGTAGATAAGAGTAAGTAGAGTGAGTCACTGTAATAGATATGTTATTTTTGAATTAAATTCATTTTTTAACTCTTGTTAATCTGGGAAAAATCCTTATTGAAATTACAAGTGGCGGTACTTTCAATTTTCAATACAAATCGATAGCCAGAATATTCAGCAAAAATTCAACTTTAAGGCCTCAGATACCTCATTACAGTACTAAGCAATAATAGCTTTATTATGAACCTCATATCAAAACGGAATAATAAAGAACATTTTTCTCTCTATGAAATCTAAAATTATGGCGATAAAAATTGGAAAATCTTTGTCTTTATCAAACATCACACAGTATGAAGCGTTACAGTTTGCTCAAGTCTAAACTACAATAACAATGATTGCTAGAAGAAGAATAATCAAGGTTAGATTTTGCTTTGATACTAATGTATCAATTATCAAAATTGGTAATTGTTATACAACAATTATACTTAGTAAATCTTCGAACCTAGAAGACGTTTTACACCTATTTTAAACTTTGAATAAAATGCTTTGATCATTGAAGATTCAGTTGGTCAGATGAGGACGGTGACCAATCAAATATCAAGCCACGATTTGATGAACACACAAATACTCATAATTTGGAATTTTAGTTTTCTAGCCACCTATATTTTGAGGGGCTTAACATTGATAAAAGAACTATTCAATTCCTAAACTGTAATTCTATATTCAACAGAATTTCATAATTTAAGTGCACTTACATTTAGTACCCAATTTTCTAATATGTCATAATACAGTATATGTTTTGCTAGAAGATGACGTATATATACGGTTACCTATAGCATATAATGATGATAATTTTTTTTTTAAATCGTTGTTTACACAGACCTGTAACCACCATTATTAGCGTTAAACCTGAGTGCATATTATGCATATAACAAAGTTGACCTTATCACTAAACTGAAGTAATATTAAGGTACGATCTGTTAGTTAATGTTATATCAGTTTTAGTTAAAAATATTTCCATCTATACATATTTTCTTCCCTATAATACATTTTATTACATATTACACTTAGTTCTTTGCAGTACATTTCATACTGTTTCATATCCTGTTATTTGCCTTTATATATGTGTATTGTATGTAACGGATTTGTTTGTATTTGCGATTAATTCCGTTCTATAATCGGAAATTGAATAAGATTTAAAAATATTTACTTGATCATATGAAAGCTGTGAAGGATTCTGACACCAAATTGATGAATTTTTTGTATGGATGCTACAATACTGAAAAATAAATAAAACAAAGATATTCAGTGTAAAAATACAAAAACATAAATTTAAAGACAATGACCTAAAAGAACACAGCCAAAAATATATTTCACTAAAAAAAACTATTATTTGTGAAATCGAGATTAATATGTTAAGTGTTTTCACGTCTTATTGCTATTTTTTTAATTTAAATTGTATAAAAAGAACGTAAAGACTGTATATATTTTTTCATAAAAATTTTTCTTTCTCTTAAGTATATAATGAAGTTAAAAAGGCACAGTTATACCTCAAAATATATAAGTACACTTCATCTAAACTTAAGTTATTATTAAAGCTAATTATCATTTTTTTCTTCATACAAAAAAAAAAAAAAAATTATATCAAAAACTATATAAAAATTATTTTTAAAACGTGAGTGTGAAAATGTTAATTTTTTAATGAACATTTATTAAATATCTTTTTTTCACGGGTGCAAAACAAATGTTCTTATCATATTATAACAATTGGATATAATTAAATTCGTATAAACAAAAATGAAATGTTTATATAAGCACTTTAATATTTTAACGTAAAATTGATTCTTAAACTTTAATATCTACAATATAAAATTAATCATACCGCAGAATACGATGTAACTTTCTTATCAAATATTAGCGGTTGATCTTCTGGCATCAATATTAAACTCTGTAACCAAGTATAAATTTTCGACTTATCCATTTTTGAACTCGTTACAGATGAAGTCACTTGTTCCTGGAATATTTCGTAAGTAATGTAGTATTTTTAAATTGAAATGTTTAACTATTTTTAAGAACAAGTACCTACCATAGTCATCATATTCGGACTTGGGCATGTTATTGGAGCCACACCATATTGCTTAGCTTCTGAATCACAAACGTTTAAATTTACAAAGTTAATTATATACATATCCAACACTTTATTTGTTATTGTAAAATCGAAACCTTAAAGAACAAAAAGAATTATTTGACATCAACATTAAGGATAACAGTAATATATTATTCTCTGAAATATTGATATAGGTAGAATTTTTTACTTGAAGTATTAAGAAAGTTTGTATCGGAATATGCATATATGAGTAATCCAAATTTAATTTTATGTTTTACTTGTTGTTTGATTTGACTGATAAATGTACTTAATTTTTGTGGAAAATTTTCCATGATATCCTTAAAAGAAATTATACCAATCAATCAAAACGATACTCGTATTATGTTATACATTAATTTTTTTTATGTTGTGTTGACTAAATTTTTTAACAATGAGTTAGAATTATATGTCTAAGTGTCACGAGACATTTAAATATAGCTATCATTAATTGATACACGTGATCAGTGAATTATAAATAATGGGTAGGTACACTCAAATACCAAAATTTCAACACCATATTATGTTTTATAGATTATTTTATAACACTGATAAAGATAACTCAGAAATATATCTGTTCTGATTGAATAATAATCTTATAAAAGAACCTTTCAAAAATTGATAAAATACTTAATTTTCGTTTTCTGATATTATATGTATTATTATAACTAAGAACTGTTTTACAAATTTAATTTATAAAAGTAAGTACTGAGGATTTACAACTTTTTTCATTATCCCTGTAATTGCTAACTGAAAACATTTTTGATCATAAAATATCAGGGTAGTTTTATTCTAGTTGAAAATTTTATTTCAAAATAAAATTATACATATTTATAATATTTGAACTTTAAAACTATTGTTTAATTAAACAGACTTTTTTTTGCTCACATAAATTCTATATATATTCAAGAGAAGACCACTAATTTTATAAGCATTTAAAAAATTGACTAATGGACCCATTGTTTCTTTCTTAAATTGTTCCTCATCCTGAGGAGCCAATATTGAAGGCCAATCATCACCAGAATAGAATCCAAGTTGTATATAAACAACCTTGTTAGCTGTTTTCAAAGCTCTCATTGCACCTTTAAACATATATTATATTTTATTATATTTAGACACAGTATTCAAATTTTATTATAAATAATATTTTTTATAAATAATACATTTTTATATACTTAACAGTTATAACTTATAACACTTAATAATATTAACAATTATATAACAATTTACTGTATTCATTTTTATATTACTACGGACCATCAGTACCTATTCCATATCATTAAACAATTATTAATATTTTAATGGCTTACCGACAGAAATAAAACATCATATAACACCATTTATCATTTGATCATAATTCTTTTATTATTTTTTTGTTTTAAATATCGTTTTTGAATGCACGCACTAGTAAGATTTTAATGCATAATTCTGTTTTATATCATGAAAATATTTATATATTTTTCTATTTAAATATGTTGGAAAAATTGTTTTATAAGTGCTCTTTAATTTTCAAAAGAATTAATTTTCAAACAAAATGTTATCGAATATAGCTTATTTGTTTTTTTTTTTAATAAAGAATGAAATTTGTTAATTAGCCTCACTTCTATATGTTTGTGTATTAAAGTTTTTAAAATTATTACCTTTATCTGATTCTGTTGTATAGGTATCAATACCATCATTAATGTCAAAATTATATTGACCCATATTAATTACATCACAATCATCTGGTATTTCGGATACATTGAATTTATAAGTACTGACCCAGACATTTCCAGCAAATGAACAAATTATTTCATTTGGCCATTCATCTTAAAAACATGTATACATATATTTAATCCAATAATACATAAAGAAAAAATAAAATTATTTTAAATATTTAAAAAAAACATGCTGTTAACTATTCTGCTGTTCAGTGGGTGCTGGATGTTTCTCATCATTGATAAGTTAAGTGTAATTTATATGTTTAATATTAAATCAAAGATAAATAACACCATACAAAGAATGATTCTGATCAAAGTTGTATTAACCTAATGAATGAATCTAAATATTTCGAAAAATTACATTACGTATCGTAAAATGTAATCATAAATGTAAAAATGTCAGGTCTCAATATTTTTGAATAACCACAAAATATCCAAAATCGTTATTCTCTGTTGAAGTATCTAAATTAACCGTCTGAATTACAACTATAAATATTTATTTATAAAATTAATTTCATTTTTTATAAAAAAAAATTATAGATTATTTATTTACCTTGTGTTTTCAATGAAGGAAAAAACAAAATAATCATTATAATGGTTTTCATTTTAATAATTAAATATAATTTTCGAGGTATTGCTTTAACTTAAAATGATTTCAAGAAATAACTCATAGAATGTTTTATTTTATTGTTGAAAGAATATAAAATAAAGAATTAACTTTATTTATTGATTGTTATATATTTAATTAATAATGTTACTAATCATAACCATACAATTTGAACATCTGCAATGTATGTTTATTTAAAATATATAAATATTATGCTATGAAATTATATAGCACATGAGTAAATAAAAAATTAAAACATTATGATGTAATGATATTCACATTATTACGCTACAAGGCCTTATAATTAAATATCATATTATTCATCATCCATCTTAATGCTTAAGTAAATATTCATATCAGAAACAAATTACCATAATATATTAAAATTATCATCAAACAATTAGTAATAATATAATTTGTTAAATACTTTATATCATAAAAAAACATGTTTATATAATACAAATGTAATTATACTAAATAAACAACAAAAAATAAAATGGAACGACAAGTAAAAGATCAAGTCTATAAGTAGAACCTCCATTCTGACATTAAAGTCAGTCAAGTTTCCATCAAGGATTCTGTCTCCACCGAATAGTCTACATCCAGTTACCGCCCTTGTTCTCAAAAGCAAAAGAATATTAATTTAACAGTCTTAATTGATCTTTCTCTCGTTGTAAAGTTTAAATCAAAGTTATAAATCTTATTCGAATTATTTTTCTTATTCTATCCAAATAATACATGTTTAACTTACATCAATATTATTGACATCCGGTTATCAACACCTATCAGGTAAAAAAATATATCTATATACTTAAGTACATTAAAGGCAGAAAGAATATCATCATTACAAATAAAAATAACACACGTAGACTCCCGTGATGTACGGAAGGTAAAAATAATATATATTTATGAATCTGTATTCACGATCCCAAATTAAATCGTAATAATAAAATATAGGTTCTAACAAATGATAAACGAGAAACCAAAAGAACGTACACATTCTTGTCTCCATCGTTTATGTTTCAAAGAAGCCTAAATATAACATCTAAAAAGGTTAATATATATTGTATGGTAAAGATTCATCAATAGCTCTGGCCAAGCTTATTTTTGATTCATTACAATGATATAATTTATAGCATGATAAATTTTATAATTAATTTTTTGGTAAGTAATATAGTTTTTGAATTGGTATCTACTGGTAACAATTTAATTTGTTTGGAGTATAGTATAAATTAAAAAAATAGTGATTTACTGCAAAGCTGTAAGTATAGCTATCGAGCAATATGTATGTTTACATATTGAACTAAAATCATTATAATCGTTGTTTGTTTATAGGTAATAATTAAGTAATGTTCATTTATATTTGTCTCTAAACATTGATATATAATGGCATTTATAATAAAAATGAAAAAAATCATAGAAAATATTAAAAATATAAAATAATAATAATTATAGAACTAGTAGAAACATTAAAATACTTAAAAATTGTGATTAGACACAGATATTTTATTTTTTATGTGAACGTTTCAATAGAATCATGTGAATAGAGTTATTCTGTAGATTTTTGTTTTCATTTACGTTGTTGCTATTGATAATATAACTACTTTAAATGCTAATAATGTATTTTGTATTAAATTTAAGTAATATCTATCTATACACATAACATGCTGTGTGTCTATTTAATGCTCATCTATTTATTAAGGGAGATTATTTTCATTTTTTTGGGCAAACCTCTCCCCCTGTTTTCATCAATGTGTGCCTCTAAGTACTTATGTCAAATAATGCATACACTGACACTCTTTGATTAAAATAATAATATCTTATTAACCGTAATTGATTAAAGTTTAAGACACATTAAATAGATTAACAAAATACGGTTGAAAATAATTTTTTTAGACAATGTTTAAAATGTTTATTAAAAAAATAACCTATTTTTATCAGAAATTTTTAATTGAAAACGTTCACTACCTTTTTTTATCATTAACATTTGTTTTGGCTTTATTATTATTCATAATATATTACTGCAATTCATTATGGATATTATACCTATGAATTATTATACATATCGTTTGTTACTTTGACGCGGCTTCGGCGGTTGTCATGGTTTTTCCGCGGAAAGCCGGTCGTATGATTGTAAATGCACGCACCGGTGTGAAATCACACAAACAGGTTGTTGGACAGATTCAGCAAAGACGTTCTAAACCTTTAGTGGTTGTATGTAACTTGGTGATTCCAATGAAGTTAAGTCCTTGTAGAGTTCTTTGGACAACGTTCGGAACATCTGACGCTGTTAGACGTGCGACCGACCAGCGACTCCAGCAATAGTTCGCGACTGAAGCTCGTCCGGTGCAACTTATCTTCCCGTCCCGCCTTGATCTTTATGGCGTTGGTAGGAGAGTTGACTATATTTCGTCTTTACCCGTGGTGGTGGTGATAATGGTGTAGACCGGTCGCTTCGGTGCCTGTACTTTGTACTATAGCGACCGATGCGTACTGTGTCTAGGTTAGGTTACCAAATATTATTAACTATAACTACGTACGATACAATTACTGTTAATTTTTTGGAATGTGCTAGTTCAAACCTAATTAACATTTTTAAAATGATTAGGTATTTAATATTCAATCGTTACATACCTACCTATTTAATTTCAACATAATGAATCGTTTGTACAAACTATTTATTTTATTTACCACTCATTTAATTTTTGTTACATAAATTTGGGTTTGACTAGTGTTTTCAATAGGGTATATAATCTTCTTGAAGATTAGATAAAAATAAAAAAATAAGGAAAATATCTATTCAAATACAGTAGAAGCCGCTTATTAGAAACACGGATAATTGATACAATCGTGTTATTGAAACAAAATGTTTCGGGACGGATCGGCCGTATATTAGAACATTGAAAATAAATCGGATTATTGAAACATCACATCGGTTATTTGAAACAATTGGGAGAAGGTCAGTTGACATATACACCGATTATCTAGCGATAACCAATGTACTTCAATTTTATCTTTGCTGTCGTTACGTTTATTTTTACTGTAATTTATCGCGAGAATGCTCTTTCTGTACGTACTGGTCGTACCGTTTGTAGTTTAGCTTCAGCGTGTGTATGTAAAGATTATTAGTGTTTCCTTTTTCTAAAAATCTAAAAATGTCTAAACGCTAAGATTTTAGCCAATTTTCATGCGACTATTCGTGGTTTGAAACTCATTTAACCGATTTGCTAGCCCAATACACACGCTCTGATATTTTCAATGCGGACGAGACTGGGCTTTATTTTGGAGCTCTACCTGAACACACATACGCACTCAAAATAAGTGACAAAGCTAAAGGGGCAATATTACTCGTATGAAAATATGGTCACGGAGTTACTCGACGTAAAAAAACAAATTACGAATGATAAATATTTTACATAATATCGTAAAATATACACAATTGTGCATACTTTTTTAAATTATACAATATAGGTACATACATACATACATATTTTTTTCGCGTACCTATTATTCATTTTTTTTTTTCAATCGCTTATTAGAAACAATCGGTTAATTGACACAATTCACCTTGGTCCCAAAGTGTTTCTAATAAACGGCTTTTACTGTACCTAGGTATCTATTAGGTAGCTATTCTAATGTAGACTGATTAATGATCACGCATTTACACTTTTAATTCATAATTTATTTTCAGAAAGATAGATGATAAGTTTTCTGCAGTCTAGAATAGAATATATTTCATAGTATAATAAGTGTTATAAGATACAGGTAATTGTAATAAAGTTCTATCATTTAAAAATAAATTATTTAAGTAAAAATAATTTAACACTGAAATATTTATTTTATTACCCGGTACTTATTATAGTTACTAACTATAATACTTATACATAACACAAATGAAAAAATTAACACTATAAATACAATGTATAAAACCATATTGGAAACTAATTAGAAAATAATTTAGAAAGTAATATAAGGTAGAGTCTAGAAATATTATGAAACTGATATGTTTACAAATATTTTTATTATATTTTATTAAAACAGTATTAAGAGTACCTATTCGTAAAAATTAATTTAAATAAACACAGAAATTAAAAAGTTTTTAACTTTATTTCGAATAATTCATTAACCATTATTCTTCAAATTAATCCATACATATTATACTTTCATAATATGGTTTTTATGCTGAACTTCAGTCTTCAGACATATTTTTCTGGTTAGATGTTATTATTATTATTATATTGCATAAATTAATAAAAGTGATAATTTTTGAACAGAAATACACATTACAATAGTAGTATTAAAATACATTAATATTTTTAACGATTTAAACACAATTATATTTATGACCATTTAGCGAGAATATTGATAAATATCTATAAATAATTATTACTGTATACTATAGGTAAAGTTTAAAAGATATAATTTAATTTATCCCATTTTTGTCTGATCTGTTTAATCTAATCTGGGACACGGTGTTAGAGGAGTTGATTTCCAGCCACTAATAAATGTCTTTGTAATTGGAAATTGTTCACAACCACAACTGGAATTGTAATCATCTGCATCAAGACTTTGTATGGCAATTCCTCGATAATTCTTTTTTGCGAAAGTCGCCTAAAATAAATACCAAAAAAATGTTTAAATGTATACGAAAATGATTATAATTTTGCTGTAAATTAGAGTAAATGGAGTTAGTCACTATAATATATGTGTAAAATTTAAATCAAATTAATTTTATATGTTGTTATAAAACGGAAAAAAGAATATTTTTCTCTCTACGAAGTTTAAAGTTAGGATATTGAAAATTGGGAAATTGGAAACCTCTTTGTCTGCATCAAACATCGCATAGTATGAAGCACTACAGTTTGCTCAAGTCTATACTACAATACCAAAGATGAAATTATCCATCACCTGGTAAAACATTTCAATTGATTTTTTTCAATTTTAAATAAAACAAAAGGATTTCAAAATATTTGCTTAAATAAGGATCACACAATTTAATTACTTATAAAAATGTTTAGCAGGAATAGGTCAAATTTTAAACGGTTTTCAGAAAAGGAATAATAAACATTAGATTTTGCTTTGATACTAATGTATCAATTATCAAAATTGGTATTTTTTATTCAACAATTATACTTATTAAATCTTTGATCCTAGAAGACATTTTAATCTTACTTCAACTTGAAATAAGTTGCTTTGATCGTTGAAGTTTCAGTCGGTCAGATGAAGACGTTGTTCAATCAAATATCAACTAATAATTTGGTGAACACACGAGTATCCAGTATTTGGAATTTTAATTTTCTCACTTATCCATATTTTGAGGGGCTTTGGAAGGCCGCCAGCAAAAGACTTATAACTTATACTGACCAAAAAGTAGGTACCCGCATACTCAATTATCGAAAAACTTAACTTGATGGTTACGCTTATAGAGAAATAATTATTCAATTCCTAACCTGTAATTCTTTTATCAACAGAATTTCATAATCACTGTGAACTTACATTTAGTACCCAATTTTCTGATATATCATAATACAGTATATGTTTTTCTAGAAGATGACATTTAAATATTTCTACCAATAAGATAAAATGATGAAAAATTTATTTGGTTGGTTATCGACATTATGTCAATCGTGGTTTAGACAGATCAGTCACCACCATAATTATCATTAAACGTGTATTTATTTTATGCATATAACAAAGTGGAACCTATCACTAAATTGTATTAATACTAAGGTACGATTCGTTAGTTACGGTTATATAGGTTTTAGTTAAAGATATCTCCAGCTATAAATATTTTCTTCCTTAGAGTGCATTAGATATCACACTTAGTTGTTCACAATACATTTTATATTATTTCATATCCTGTTATCTGTCTTTATATATGTTTGTATCGGATTGGTCTGCCTTTATGATTAAATCCCGTTTTATAATCAGAGATTAAATATGATTTAAAAATATTTACTTGATCATATGAAAGCTTTGGAGGGTTCTGACACCAGAGAGATGACTGTGATGTATTGGTGCTACAATACTGAAATAAAAACAAAACAGAGATTTTCAATGTAAAAACACACATTTTATCATTTAAAGACAAAGACATTTTGAACACTGCTAAAACTATATTTAACTAAAAAAAACTGTTATCTGTGAAATCGATATTAATATGTTAAGTGTTTTCACATCTAATTGCTGTTATGTTTGATAAAAAGGGATTGCTAATTTAATTACCTTAATTTAAATTTTATAAAACAATCGTAAAGACAATATATATTTTTACATAAAAATGTTTCTTTCTCCTAAGTATATAATCAGTTAAAGGCTACAGTAATACCTCAAAATATTTAAGTACTCTTCATCTAAACATAAATTATAATTAAACCTAATCATCATTTTATTTATCATTCAAAAAAAAAAAAAAATTTTATCAAAAATTATATTATAATTATTTTAAAAACGTGAATGTGAAATAGTTAATTTTTTAATGAACAGTTATTAATTATCTTTTTCATATCTTATTTTTACGGATACAAAACAAATGTTTTTATCATGTGATAACAATTGGATATAATTTAATTAGTATAAACAAAAATTAAATATTAATATAAACACTTTAATAATTTAAGATAAAGTTGATTCTTAAACTTTTATAATATCTGCAATATAAAATTAATCATACCGTGGAATACGTCGTAATATGCTTATTTAATAATAGTGGTTGATCATCTGGTATCAATATTACATTCTGTAACCAAGCATAAATTTTCAACTTATCCATTTTTGAATTTGATACAGCTGAAGTCACTTGTTCCTGAAATATTTCGTAAGTTATGTAGTATTTTTAAATTGAAATATTTTACTATTGTTAAGAACAAGTACCAACCATTGTCGTCATATTAGGACTTGGGCAAGTTATTGGAGCCAAACCATATTTCTTACCATCTGAATCACAAATGTTTAAATTTGCAAAGATTATTAAATACATATCCAACACACCATTTGTTATTGTAAAATCGAAACCTTAAAGAACACAAAGAAACAATTTATATCAATATAAAGGATAACAATAATTTATTGTCCAATGAAATATTGATATAAGTATAACTTTCTTACTCGTAGTGTCATTAAAGCTTTCATAAGTTATTGCATCTATGACTAAACCAAATTTTATTTTATGTGTTACTCCTTGTTTGACTTGACTAATGAATGTACTTATTTGTTGGGGAAAATTGTCCATGACATCCTTAAAAAAATTATACCAATCAATCAAAACGATACTAGTATTTTGTAATACATTAATTTTTTTAGTAAGAATTTATTTTATGCTTTGTTGATTAGATTTTTTAACAATGAGTAAGAATTATATGGCTAAGTGTCACAAAACATTTAAACATAATTATCGTTAATTGATACATGTGATCAGAGACTTTTAAATAATGGGTACACTTAAATACCAAAGTTTCAAAACTATTTTATGTTTTATAGATTATTTTATAACACTGATAACGATAACCCAGAAATATATCTGTACTGATTGAATAATAATGTTATAAAAGAATCTTTCGAAAATTGATAAAATACTTAATTTTCGTTTTCTGGTATTATATGTATTATTATAACAATGAACAGTTTTACAAACATAATTTATAAAAGTAAGTACTGGGGATTTACATATATTTTCATCATCCCTGTTATTGCCAATTAAAATCAATTTGATCATAATAATCAGGGTGGTTGTATTCTAGTTGAAAATTTAAGCATTTTTACATCTTAAAATAAAATCGTAAATAATTATAATATTAGAACTTAAAAACTATTGTTTAATTAAGCTAACTTCTTTTTTACTCACATAAATTCCAAGTACATTCAAGAGAACACCACTAATTTTAAAATCATTTAAGAACATGACTAACGGATCCAATATAAACTTCCTATATGTTTTCTTATACCTGGGATCAAATATTGAGGGCCAGTCTTTTTTATCAGCGAATCCAAGTATTGTATAAACAATCTTGTTAGCTTTTTGCAAGGCTCTCATTGCATCTTTAAATATATAAATTTTAATATATTTAAACACAGCATTCATTTTTTAGTATGAATTATAGCGCTTATATATAAGAAACTACTGTATTAATTTTTATGTTACCACGAACCATCGGTATCTATTCCATATCTTTAAAGAATAATTAATAGTTTAATGGCTTACCTGCAGAAATAATACCTCATATAACAACATTAATCAATTGATCATAATTCATTTATTATTATTTTTTTTTTAATATTTTTTTGAATGCATGCACTTGTAATATTTTTTTTAGCTGTTGCTACTTATTTAAGCCACTTACAAGTTACAAGTGTTGATAAATATTGAAAATAAGTATTAAATTATGAGTTATTAATATTATATTCGTTAACTTGATTATCATGATATTAGTTATAACGTTTGTAGTATATCATTTACTTCTCTTTAGTTTATACTTCATTATTTTATATTTAATTAATGCCAAAAGATTTTAACGCATAATTCTGTTTTATATCATGAAAATATTTATATGTTTTCCTGTTTAAATATGTCGGAAAAATTTGTTTTTTAAGTTCTATTTAATTTTCATAAGTATTAATTTTCAAACAAAATGTTATCGAATATAGCTTATTTGTTTGCTTTTATAAAGAATGGAAATTTATTAATTAGTCTCACTACTATATGTTAATGTATTAAAGTTTTTTATAATTATTACCTTCATCTGATTTTGTTGTATGGATATCAACACCATTATTCCTGTCAAAAGCATAAAAACCCATAGTAATTACATCACAACCATCTGGTATTTCGGCTACATTGAATACATAAGTACTGTCCCAGGTACTTCCAGCTATATTACAAATTACTTCGCTTGGCCATTCATCTTAATAACATGTATACATATTGGTTGAATCCAATAATACATAAAGAAAAAATATAATTATTCTTAATATTTAAAAAAAAAATATGCTGTTAATTATTCTGCTTTTCAGTGGGTGTTGGATGATTCTCATCATTGATAAGTTAAGTGTAATTGATATGTTTAATATTAAATCAAAGATAAATAACACCATACAATGGATGATTCTGATCAGAGTTGTATTGGCCTAATCAATGAATCTAAATATTACGAAAACTACATTACGTATCGAAAAATATAATCATAATATGAGTAAAAATGTCAAGTCTCAATATTTTTTAATTACCACAAAATATCTAAAATCGTCACTGTTAAAATATCTAAATTAAACGTCTGAATTACAACTATAAATATTTATTTATTGAATTAATTACATTTTTTATAAAAAATAGAATTTTTATTTACCTTGTGTCTTCATTGAAGGACAAAACAAAATACACAAAACAATCACTATTATGGTTTTCATTTTAATAATTAAATATAATTTTTGAGATATTACTTTTACTTAAAATTATTTTAACAAATTACTCATAGAAAGTTATATTTTATTGTTGAAGGAATTTAAAATGAAGAATTAACCTCATATATTTATTGTTTAATGTTTGATTAATAATTTTAGTAATTAATCCCATACAATTTGAACATCTGTGATGTATATTTATTTAAAATATGTAAATATTATGCTATGAAATTATATAGCACATAAGTAAAACATTATGATATAATTTATAATATGATAAATTTTGTAATTAATATTTTGGTGAATAATATTTCACGACTTTTATGGTTGTTACAGTTGATATCAAACTCGTGTATGTGTGATAAGGATTTAAATTTTAAACTCTATGAAACCGGGTAATCACTCATCCGGGAGCTAGTAGATGTAGGCGTTACTTACTCCCAGTCGCATTCTACAACTGGTAGCAGTCAACGTGCCACGCCAAGGCATATTGCATTTATTTTCTTAGGAAACATGCAATTTTTAAGTTTCTCCTTTTGTTCGTTTGAACATTTCATATAAAAAAAAATAACTTTATATTATTTTAGTCTTTAAATCTTTTTTCTATTAAACTGATAGCGAAATACAAAAGTATTTTTTACTTTTATTTGCATTTGACGTTAGAATTTTGAGATTCGTCAAAATCACTAAAATTGTTGTCGGAATTTCATAAAAACTTTTTTTTTTATACCTAAGTTTTAAATTTTCATAAAAGATTTCTCATAATTAGCTCATATTGATTCTATTAAATGAAAAAAAAATATAAAGGAAATTTTGTTTTTTATATTTATACTAATGTACAAGTTCAGTAAGTGGTACCTTTTTCTACCTTTTTAAATATTAAATGGTTGTGATTAATTATATATTTATATATTAATATTTCTTTTGCCGTGGTACTCCATTCACACAGCAACACCTAATGCTAATAACAACTCAACTACCCAAACCCTTTATTATCGTAGGATACTTTAACAGTCGTAACACTTTATGGGGATCCACATACACCGATAATCGAGGCAAAACCACGGAACATTTTATAGACCATTCTGATCTGATACTGCTCAATAATGGTAACCCTACAAGACTCAATCCTATCAACGGGAATTTTTCTGTAATTGACCTTTTTATCACTACCCCTACAATTGCGCCAGACATAGAATGGGACACACTTACCTCTTATAATGGAAGCGACCATTGGCCAATAATACTTAAACTATCTCATCTAATTTCCTAACCTGAACCAATAAATAAATGGAGTCTAAAAAATCCAAACTGGAGTTTTTCTCTTCTCTTGTAGATCACGCACTACAAAATTCTCAGAATAATGAAGTAAATTTTATAACTCCCGACATAAATCGAAATAAAATTTTTGAACTCGTCCTAAATCTAACAAACTCCATCATCGAAGCAGTCACCGTCGCAATAGAAAAATCCAACCGCACAATTAACCATAAAATAGTCCCTTGGTGGAACCATGAGTGTAAAACATATATTAAAAAATATAAAATAGCTTGAAACCGTTTTAAAAAAACCAGGTTACTGGCAGACTATATTCTTTTAAAGAAAGCTCGAGTTGAATCCAAATATATCCTAAAAATAAATAAAACTTCCTCTTGGAAAAATTTTACTTTAACTATCAATAACCATACTCATTCATTTACGTTCTGGAACAAAATTAGAGCATTCTCTATATAAAATACCAGCATATACCCAATACACTACACTACGAACATGAGAATATTCAAGTGGAATTATCATCAACTTTTGATATTTCTTAATCTTTTGCTAAATATTTCCAAGCCAACAGTAGCAATTTCGCCATATACAAAAGAGTCAAAGACGAATCCTTTAACATAAATTCATACATACACAATAATAATAATGAGTACAATCTCCCGCTTACAATTGAAGAGCTACACTCTGAATTAGGCAACTGTACCAGCAAAAGCTCCGGGCCTGATGATATCCCATATATTTTTATTAAAAACCTTTCAAAATTCGCACTCAATAGAATACTTACAATCTACAACCTCGTTTGGGTTCACGGAATATTTCCTATTAAATGGCACCAAGCAATAGTTATACCATTGATTATAGAATAGACAGATAGACAATGGTATAGGGATTTTCGGTGACTAAAATTGTATTTATAATAGCTGCCAATAGGTAGCGTTGTATGAATTAATATTATATTATTAATATTGAGTACTGACGGCAAGTAGTAATAACATATTCTTAGACCGGTTTTTGGCAATGACAGAAAAAGCGATAAGCTTATAAATTACTTATCGTAGATAAATGATATTTTCCGTGCATCGCACTATCACCATTCACCACAATATTGTAAAATTATTATTAATTATTTTCATATTCTGCGTTATTACGTTGTGTTGTACGCGACCAAAAAGTAATTATTTATTTTATTACGAAAAATTAATTTATTTTGCAATGCTAAGATTCAGTAAAATCTGCTTTGTAAAAAAGTATTGTATTACAATTTACATTATACACTACACAAGATTTATCAAATTTTAACAATACAGCAAATTTTTATCCATATCATAGTTTTTTATAAAATAAAATAAATTATTTTATGTTCAAATTTTAAAAGAAGAAAATCGCAACAACATAAATAATACAATTAATGAAATATTATTATTATTATTTATAAATAAAATAATGCAGTTGTATTTTAATATTGAGTAAGTACATTGTTGCGTCCCTTATGTCAACGTCGATTCATATATCAACGTAGAAATAGAAATACTAATGTTTGCAAGTTAAAAGATTAAGTCTTTATTTAATACAATTAACTCGTACAAGAATACAATTTTATAAGCACAAGATGGTGTGAGTGGTGTTACGACCTGCCTCTGAAATACTGATAGACGTGACCGTGAGTGGTGTTATGACCTGCCTCTGAGCGTCTCGAATATCCCTAACCGTCTGCTGAGCTCTAGCCCTGGTCTCCCTTATATATGGTTAACCGTCAAGAGTGGTGACTGGGGAGGTGGTGACTTCCGATGACCTAAAGGAGCTCTCTAAATTAAATGTATTATTCAGTTGGGTGCCTTTCCTGCGATTTCATCGGTTCTAAGAATTACAAGACGTGTGATCAAGTCTTAATTGTCAAATTAAATAGTACAATGTTAACACTGTCGTTTACTCATCATTTCTGAGAAGTCCAGGACGTGTGATCAAGTCTTATTCATTATATTAAATATCACGATGTGCAGGTGTTCGCCCTATCCGTTGGTGCTACACTGTTTGAATATATTATCCCATCGGTATACAGTATACACATCACCTCTCCGTATAATATAAATGTGTAAAATAACACGGTACGTAACAACATATTGAATATGTTAAATTTAGAAACTAACAATAAATCTGCATATTATGAAAAACGATTGCGAGTAAAGATAGACCAAAATTACATTAAATTGGAGTCTGGATTTAGAATTAATAAATTAATTTAGAATAATAGTAGATTGTGATGTTTATTAGTTCTGAAAAGAACCGTTTTATAAAATCGAAGTAATTAGTCCTAAAAAGAACTGTTTAATAGAATCAACACAAAGTTCTGAAAAGAACTATTAAATGTGAGTCCTATAGAGGACAATTAATACTGCTTCTATTGTTTTATGCAAATAGGTACAATGCCAGAACAAGAAAACATTTATTTAATTTAATTAAATATGGTTTAATATTTTTAATTTTGAAAGTTTTGCTAATTTTGAAGTAGTTGAAAATAATTTTGTTTTATTAAATATTTTGCAAATTAAGAGTTGTTCAATTATGTACATTTTATGATCTATGCAGTTTGTTAATGATTCATCTAGCCATTTTTTAACTGTGTTATTATTTTTTACACGCTCAGTTAGTTGAAATTTTATTATTTTTTTTATGTAAATAGCTTTTATAATTGTTTTTAAAAATATTTAAAATTTTATTTACTACATTGTTTAAACTATTTGATGGTGCTTTAAGCCCGTTTTCATTTTTAATTGAAGTATAATTTTTATTAAGTAGATGCAACTGTTTTTTATCATTTAAGTTTTTATTGACAAATAATTCATTTTGACAGTTGTCACAGTTAAATTTTTTCATACATTTATAACCTAAATATTCTGCAAAGTATGAAACAGAACAATCTTCCAAAGTAACACCATTATTTATATTTTCATTAATAGAATCCTCATCAGATGATATAGGAGAGAGAAAGATAAATTAGAAATACTTTCTGTGTCAGAATAAGAAGACAATGTTGAATTGTTAGAATCTATTTTATTTTGATATTTCACCGGGTCAAATATTATAGGATTTTCATCTCCTATGGTTGCCTTACAATTTGTACCTTTAGATGTACATAAAGAAAAAATACTGTTACTTCTAATAGAAGTCCTAATTGTTCTGGCTGTTGGATTTTTATTATAACCGCCCATTTGTCGAAAAATACTAAATAGATTTTCTAATATATCCTGATTTAATCTATTAGTCATTAAAAATACAATGTTATGAGCTTTGTCTTCTTCGAAAAATTGCAACACATTAATTGTCTGTGTAAAACCTATAAAACAAGGAGGTTGAGTTAATTTTCCTTTTTTAATTTTTGAAAATTTGTAAAATATTCTGGCTTTTTTTAAGAAATTGTGTACAGTACCTGATTCAGTTAATGCACATAGATATAGATTTTGGCTATATAAAGATCTGCCATTAAGACAATCGAATAAATGATTGATAAATTCAATAAAATCTGCAGTATTTAAAAAAGTGTTACTTTGAAGTTGTCTAGTTTGTATACAAGTTCGGATCGTTGCTGACATAGAATGGCTCAATAATTTTGCTGCTAATTTAACATTCATTTTTTGAAAAGGATTTGGATAAATATGTGCATCTGTTTTTTGACGAGACATCTACTCTTGAGATTTTTTTTATCTAACTCATATGTTTTTTTTATGTCTTCA